CTATTACATATTCAACCTGGTATAGCTATTTTTACTTTCTCAGTACTTTTAACCTACAGTTATTCTTTAAATTATCATTTTCAGCATTTTGTTTAGAAGTTCAGTGTTCCCTTCTAGCAAACAGCAGTATAGATCTAAGGGTCCAGAAAACTGTGGCTGGTGAGAGTCATCCATTGCTTTTGCCTGCTAGGGGAGATACTAGACAGTGTTTGGTCCTTGGATGTGATGCGTATTTGTATCATTCCTGTTATCCTAGAGAAAAAGAAAGGCCAGCACTTGGAGAGGGAGTTCAGTGTCATGTGGAGTATCAGCTCTGTTAATACTTGGCTTGGATCTTGATCAAGTCACTGGATTTCTTTTGGTCCCAGATTGTTACCTCTGAATGTTCAGGTTTATCAATAAAGATGCACACATGCAAATCTGATTTAGTGGTTTCTTTTTAAGATTTATTTATTTATTTGACAGAGAGAGAGAGAGAGAGAGAGTGCACAAGCAGGGGGAGCGGCTGGCAGAGGGAGAGGGAGAAGCAGGCTTCCTGCTGAGCAGGGAGCCTGATGCGCGTCTCAATCCCAGGACCCTGCGATCATGACCTGAGCCGAAGGCAGTTGCTTAACCAACTGAGCCACCCAGGCGCCTCTGATTTAGTGTTTTTAAGTTAAATGTTGAACTGATATAAAATAAGATTTATAAGGTATATGTAAGGGATAAAGAATCATGATACAATAAAATCCATGTGCCCACTGCCCAGTTTATTATAATATGCCTTTAAAATCATGTGTACCTGGGGGCACCTGGGTGGCTCAGTCGGTCAAGCGTCTGCCTTCGGCTCAGGTCATGATCTCAGGGTCCTGGGATTGAGTGCCACATCGGGCTCCCTGCTCAGCGGGGAGCCTGCTTCTCCCTCTGCCCTGCTGCTCCCCCTGCTCTCTCTCTCAAATAAATAAATAAAATCTTAAAAAAAAAAATCCTATGTGTACCTGCCAGATACCAACCCTTCCCTTCCTGCCCCTTAATCACCTCTCCAGAATTTTGCCATCATTCCCTAGCTTTTCTTTAGTTTTACCATATTTGTGACTCTAAACATAGTGTTTAATTTTGAAGGTTTTTGAATTTTATATTAATAGAATCATATTGTATGCATTCTTCTGTGATTTTTTCATTCAACATTATTTTCCTGGTACTTATCTACAATGTTGTGTGTAGCTAAAATTCACTCATTTTCACTATCATTTTCCTTCTAAAAAAGTTTTTTTTTCCATTTTTTTACTTAAATTCAATTAATTAACATGTAATATATTATTGGTTTCAGAGGTAGAGGTCTGTGATTCATCAGTCTTATATAACACCCAGTACTCATTATATCATGTACTCTCCTTCATGTCCATCACCCAGTTACCCCGTACCCCCACCTCTCTCCCATCCAGCAACCTTTAGTTTGTTTCCTATGATTAAGAGTTTCTTATGGTTTGTCTCTTTCTCTGGTTTCATCTCATTTTATTTTTCCCTCTCTTCAAAGTTTTTGTTTTTCTTTTTTAAGATTTATTTATTTGAGAGAGAGTGACAGAGAGTGAGCACATGGTGGGGGGGGTAGGGACAGAGGGAGAGGATCTCAAGCTGATGCCCTGCTGAGTGCAGAGCCCAACTTGGGGCTCGAATCTCATGAGCCCGAGATCATGACCTGAGCCGAAATCAAGAGTTGGACGCTTATCTGACTGAGCCACCCAGGCACCCCAATAAGTTCTTTTAATATTTGTTTTAAGGCAAGTCTATTGGCAACAAATTCCCTCAGGTTTTGCTCATCTGAGAAACTCTTTATCTCTCCTGACTTTTGAAGGATAATTTCACAGGGTATAGAATTCTAGGTAGGTGGGTTTTTTTCTCTCTCAATACTTTAAATATTTCACTCCACTCTCTGCTTGCCTGGTTTCTGAGAAGTTGAATGTAATTCTTATCCTTGTTCCTCTAGAAGTGAAGACTTTTTTTTACTCTGGCTTCTTTCAGGATTTTTTTTTAACCTTTCATTTTCTGAGGCTTGAAAATGATATGTGTAGGTGTAGTTTTTTGGGCATTCTGCTTGTTTTTTGCAACAGCTTCCTGGATCTGTGGTTTGGTGTTGGACACAAACTCAGGGAATTTCTCAATCATTATTTTTTTCCAATAATTCTTCTGTTCCTTTCTCTCTTCTTCTGGTATTCCCATTACATGCATGTTATACCTTTTGTAGTTGTCCCAGGCCTTAGATATTGTTGTTGTTTTCCCCTTCTAGTCTTTGTTCTCTTTACTTTTTGGTTTTGGAGGTTTCTTTTGAGATATCCTCAAGCTCAGAGATTCCTTCCTTGGCTGTGTCCAATCTACTAATAAGCTCATCAAGAGCATTCTTCATTTCTGTTACAGTGCTCTGATCACTATGATTTCCTTTGGGTTTTCTTTAAAAAATTTGTCTCTGTTTACGTTGCCCATCTGTTCTTGCATGTGTTCTACTTTATCCATTAGAGCACTGACCATATTAATTATAGTTATTTTAAACTGCTGCTCTGATAATTCCCAAAACCCTGTCATATCTGAGTCTTGTTCTGATGCTTGTCCCTTTAAATTCTGTTTTTTTGCTTTTAATATGTCTTGTAATTTTTTTCCTTGATAGCCGGATGTGATGTGCTAGGTAAAAAGAACTGCGGTAAATAGGCCGTTAGTAATGTGGGGGTGGGGTGTTGGGGGAGAGGAACTGTTATATAGTCCTATGAATAGGTCTGTCTTTAACTGAGCCTGTACCTCCAGGCACAACTTTACCTGTGTTTTTCAGTCCTCCTTCCCCCTTTATGTGGGAAAAGATGACATAGAATGGACTGAAGTTGGGTATTTCTCTTCCTCCATGTGTAAGGCTAGAGCCAGCTGGAGCTGGGTACTTCCCTTCTCCTAGGTCACTTAAGCTCTGGTTAAATATGTTTCTCCTGAGAACACAATTTGTCAGGAGCAGAATACTCTGCCGTATTTCAAAATGGATCCTTTCTTCACCCCCCAGCCAGAAGCACAGGGGATTTTTCTCTGACATTCACTGGTAGAACTACAGGAGGTAAAACTCACAAATATTTGAGGGACTCCCAATGACTAGGAGTTATTTCTCAGACTTAACCCACACTCAGCCTCAAGCCATTTGTCAATTTGTCAATTACACTTCAGTTTTCCCTACCTGGACACTGGTTCCTGTGGATGTTTCAGCTTGGGGGCTTCTGGTCCAGTAAGTCGTGATTCTCTGTATTCTCCTGTTGGGTCTCTCTGATTGTGGCAGTGGTTTGCCCTGTGACCTCACTGCTCTTACAAATCTAAGAAGAGTTGATTTTTCAGTTTGTTCAGTTTTTCACTTGTTAGAATGGAGAGGTGACTTAAGTTTCTTATGGATAGGACTGGAAATTGGAAATCTGTACTGAATCTTTAAATTTGAGAATAATTGTCATTTCTACTGTGTTACGTGTTATCTGGGCACATGAAATAGTCCTCCACTTATTTAGGCCTTCTTTAATATCTTTCAATAGTTTTATAATTTTCTTCCTAAAGGTCTTATACATCTTATATTATTAGCTCAGGCCGCCATAATAAAATATCATAGATTGAGTGGGCTAGCTAACAGAAATTTACTTTCTCAGTTTTGGAGGCTGGAAGTCCAAGATGGTTGGACACATGCCACATGGTTGGATTCTAGTGAGCTCTCTTTCTGGTTTGCAAATGGCTGCCTTTTTCCTGTGTCCTCACATGGCAGACAAAGAGCTCTGGTGTCTTCTTAGAAGAGCACCAGTTCTGTTGGATCACGGCTCTATCCTTATCACCTCACTTAACCTTAATCACCCCCTTAAAGGCCTTCCCCCTAATACAGTCACACTGTTGGGGGGGTGGTGGTTAGGGGTTCCACGTATGAATTTTGAGAAGGCACAATTCAGTCCATAGTACAGTGTTCTGTGAGATTTAGTCCTAAATACTAAATATTTTTGATGCTATTAATTATTTTTCTTATTATACTTTTAAGTATTTTGTGGTAAATGAACATGTAATTAATTTTTGTATATTGAATTTGTAAGAATTTGCCTTTATAAAAAAATAGCATAGAACAGATCTAAGAATATCAAATTTTAACTTTCTTGAAAAAAATTTTTTTGAAAATTTCTTTATTTCAGATTCACTGCCACACAGAGTCACATAATTCTCAGAATCTAAGTTTACAACTGATCATCACAAGATCCCTTATCCATATACACATTAGTTAGACAGAGGGGAAAAAAATTTTGTACAATTATTTTAGTAGTTCCACGATTTGTAGGCAATAGTGAATTAGTGAAAACTGAAGAATTCCCAATGCCTTACACACAGGACAACCATTGACAAATACAAGAAAGTAGGCAATAAAAGAAAACTTTCTGTTCAGTCATAGAAAAATGCTAAAGGCATTTTGTGATGAGAGAAATGTTTTAAGCTAGTACACAACCTATTGGGCAAATAAAACTGATACATAAATTGGTACTTTTGCTCTTGAATATTGGTAGTATGGTATTACCCATTTATTTGACATTTAATAATACATAATGTTCTAAGTCTGGGTTCTCAAAACAGTTACTTGATAATTTTGAATAATGTCTGGTGTACTCAGAGTGTTTTCATTTATCTTTTCTTCTTTCAGAAGTTTTTTAAAAATTTTAAACATTTAATGATACATTTATTGGAGTTGTACCTTTTCTACCACAATGGATTAAATAAACTTGTCAAAAGTATGGTTTTGTCACTTTCTGGGACACTTAATTTGCTGTTCTTCCTTTCACATGCCTCTGTTAGCACATTTGGCCAAGTGACCACCTGCAACAGGTAGATCTCATGTTATTAATCACACAGATAAGGCAAGTTGTATATAACCATTCCTCCTACCCAGTCTGTTGACTTAAAGCAACAGGGGCTCCCTAGCACCTAAATCTTTGTTTTTCTTTTCATATATATATATATATAATAGTAGACACTTCTTTCATTTATCTCTTTTTTTTTAGTGGGACTGTGCAATGCTGGAACAATAATCTAGAATGTCCTGAATAGTGAATTCCATTGTAACACCAGATCCAGGATAACAGCGAGCTATCAAACCTTCAAAGTGCTTGTATTGGCGTATAAATTCATCTTGCATAGAGTGCCACACCACCTATTATAAAAATGAAAATAAAAGTAATTAAATTATGAATGGAAATATATAATCAAGTACGTAGAAATAATGTCAAGATATATTCTAAGATTTTAGCAGAGTGTAATGGTTAAGAACATGCATCTTTTCTCCTTCTACTTACAAGATATGTGACCTTGAGTATGTTACATCACTGCTCTGGGCCTCAAGTTCCTCATCTGTAAACCAGGGTAGTAACAATAATAACTTCCTCGTAAGTTTCTTGTGAGGATTAAATGAGTGCATGTATATAAAGTGCTTAGAACAGTGTTTGACATGGTATGCACTCACTACATTTTAGCTATTATTATATCTACTACAATATCCAATAGAGATGTGTATATGCACAATTATACATGGAACTAAGACTAGTAATTAGATGAAATGCAACACTTACAGCTTAAATTTCATTCCAGATGAAAGTTTAAACATTTATCTAAAATTGATGATACAAAACACTGCTTGATAACATAAGGGATACTCAAATGAGATAGATTATATATAATCCAATGATTTATGATTTAGCAGTGGAAACTACTATGTAGATAACTATCAAGGCAGAATCTGATATATACACTGACATATTAGCTAATACTAACAGGTGACATTTATTGATGCTTACTCTGTCTCAGCACAATACAAAGTACTTTATATATGTATTATTCTATTTAAGTCTCATGACTACCTGGTGAGGGTGGGTGCTATGACCGTCATCACTACCCAACAGATAAGGGAATGTATTCTTCCAGGATTTTTCCTTGTAAACCCTTAATCTCATAAATCCTAAATTCCTTCACTTTAAGTCTACATACTAAACAGTATTACACTTTTTGCTTTACATCTTTTAGCTCATGGTGTTTCTTCTACCTGCGACTCCTCGCACTTTATCTGTAACTATCTGACTTTCAGAGGCAAACACAAATGCAATAAAGGCTTTGATGATGTTGAAGTCAGAATTATTCTCCCTCATCTCTGGGCCTTTCAGTATGGTTCATAAAGAAAAATAGCCCAATTTGGGGTTTAAATCTGGCTCTACCATCCATTCGCTGTGGGATCTTGGTCATGTTTCTCCACCTCTCTAAGCTCTGATTTTCTTACCTATAAAATGGCAATACAATAATAGTAGTGTCCACTATATGAGAGAGGTATTATTTCCACTTTTCAAATAAGAAAGTTGAGGCTCAGAGAGGTTAAGTGACTTGCCCAAAGTCATGCAGCTTAATCTTGAGCCAGATTATGAACCCATTTCTAACTCTGGCTCCCATGCTCAGAATTACTCCACTGTACTATACTCTATTCCATTTAGTTACTCCCCTCAAATCTAAAAAACAAAAAGCCTAAAAAAACCCTGCCCCACCCCCAAACAAAAGAAAACAACTAATGCCTCAAAACAATAAAGTAGAAATATAAAATGAACAGGAATAGCCATATAAACATATTATAAATATTATTCCTTTTTTCCTCACAACTCATTAGTCTGGTCTGTACTTTATGGCACTTTATGGAAATTTCCTCCTGCACTAAAATTAGAAAATCTGTAGCCTTTCTAGAGGACTCATTTGGAGAAAAGCAAAACATTTTAAGATGTGCAATCTAGGATGGTTAACAGAATGAAGCATACCTGAAGTAAGTTTTCCTCTTCACATAAATGTTTATCAACCTTCTTATAGAGGTTATCTAGACCTTTTTTCACTTCCTTTCCAGGATACTCTTTAATGACTTTACGAAGTTCTTGTTTGTTAAATGCAAGTTGATAGCTTACTTCCTCCTCTCTTATACCTTGTGCTACTCGAGCTTCAACGCCTTCAAAGAAATGCTTCAAGGAAATGAAAAAAGATGTGGAATACATATACAATTATGCAGTCATCAAAAAAAGAAATCTTGCCATTTGCAACAATGTGGATGAAGCTAGAGAGTATTATGCTAAGCAAAATAAGAGAAAGACAAATACCATATAATTTCACTCATATGTGGAATTTAAGAAATGAACAGAGGGGGCAAAAAGAGAGGCAAACCATAAGAGACTTTTTTTTTTTGAAGATTTTATTTATTTGACAGAGAGCAAGAGAGAGAGGACACAAGCAGGGGGAGTGGCAGGCAGAGGGAGAGCGAGAAGCAGGCTCCCCACTGAGCAGGGGGTACAATGTGGGGTTCGATCCCAGTGTCCCAGGATCGTGACCTGAGCCAAAAGCAGACGCCTAAGCGACTGAGCCGTGCAGGTGCCCCACCATAAGAGACTCTTAACTACAGAGAACACACTGAGGGTTGCTGGAAGGGAGGTGGGTGGGGGGATGGGCTCAAGGGGTGATGGGTATTAAGGAGGGCATTTGCTGTGATAAACACTGGGTGTTGTACGTAAGTAATGCATCACTAAATTCTATACTTGAAACTAATATTACATTGTATGTTAACTGGAATTTAAACAAAAACTTGAAACTACAAAAAAAAGAAACTAAAATAAATAAAAATAAAAATGTAAAAAAAAAAGAAATAATGGCTAAGCACTGCTTTTATTACCAAATTAAAAAACCCTTACAAAACAGGGAAATTTACTCACTGTGTAAAACTCTAGAAAATATATAAAAGTATGAAGGATAAAATAACAATCAGCTATTATTCCACTACTCAGAGATAACCAGTGTTAACATTTTAGATTTCCTTCTAGTCTTTTTTTTTTTTTTTTAAAGATTCTATTTTTTAAGTAGTCTCTACACCCAAAGTTGGCTTGAACTCACAACCCTGGGATCAAGAGTTATATGCTCTACCGACTGAGCCAGCCAGGTGCCCCTCCGTCTCGTCTTTTGATGTGAGTACATAAGTGAGATTATAATATTGTATGCTGTATTTTCTACGTAATATTTATATTTTTTTCCAAAGTATAAATTTGAATGGCTGCATAATATTCCATCTAATGACTGAAGTATAATTTATACATTCATTCCTCATTGGATATTTTTTTTCACTTTTTTTTTAAAGTTGGTAAAATCTACTCAGATTAAAAGAAATTTATTATAAACAAAATTGTCATAAATATCTTTCATACATAACTATTTACCCACATTACTGATTACTTTTCAGCACAAATTTCTATGACTACAATTCCTCAGTTGAGGAGAATAATGGTAAGTATTCTGAAGATTCTTCATACACATAAATTGCTTCCCAGGAAAGTTCAATCAATTTATATTTCTGTCAACAGTACATGAGACTGCTATTTACCATATTATCATCAGCATTATCACAATTTAAAGAAATCATTGCATTTTGATGAGTGAAAAAGATTTATTTGTTTTTTTATTTCACAATTCTTTTGGCTATAAACGAAGTTAACCTGCTTTCATATGTTGCACAGTATATTCAGAACCCTTGCCCATTTATACATTGGGATCTTAGTGCTTTTCTTATTGATTTTAAAAAGGTATTTTATATTTTATATTACTGACTACTGGATTGTTATAAATATTCATCTCAAGTAGTCTTTTAAGTATATTTGTCTTTTAAATATGTAGTTTTATTGATTGGCATGCCTGTATTTGAGCACTATACAGTATGATCTAATACTGAAAAGCCAATCCCCCTCTCATTTTTCTCTAAAATTTTCTTGGCAATTACTATTTGTTTGTTCTTCATTAAATTATTATTATTATTATGTTTTTGCTAATAATTGTTTTGACAAGTCTATTCCTGGTGCTTTTAAATTTTTGTTTCTACATAAACTTTTAATTGCTTATTATGACACACAGGAAATAAATTGTTTTTTTATATATTTATTTTGAATCCTGCTACGTTATCATAGATCAGTAATTTCAAAGTATTATATTCAGGTAATTATAATCTTGACTCTCTTTTTCTTTAGAGTGAGAGAGGGAGAGAGTGCATGTGAGCAAGGTGGGGAGGGGGAAGGGGGAGAGGGAGAGAGAATCTTAAGTAGGCTCTACTCTCAGCATAGAACCTGATGCGGGCGCTTGAGCTCATGACCCTAAGCTCATGACTTGAGCTGAAATCAAGAGTCAGATGCTTAACTGACTGAGCCACTCAGGTGCCCTGTTAACTCTTCTTTCTATATCTTTTATTTATGTTTCAGTTCTTATTGCATTGGCTAGAGCTTCCATAACAATGTTAAATATTAAAGGATCTAGCAATGTTTCTGCTTTAAATTTGATTTCACAGGGAATGACTGATGTTGCAGTTAAGTATCACATAGGATTTAGGTCTGAGACAGACCTTTTACCCTAAAGGAATATCTGTTCTTAAGTTTTAGAAGGAATTGGTTCTGTATTTGATTAAATATATTTTAAGCATTTGTTGTTGACAGCAGATAGATAAATAAAATCTTTTAAAAAATATATTTATATATTTAGACAGCATGCAAGCGGAGGGAAGGGCAGAGGGAGAGAATCCTTAAGCAGACTCCCGCTGAGTGCAGAGCCTGATGCGAGGCTTGACCTCACTCCTGAGATCATGACCTGAGCTGATACCAAGAATCAGAGGCTCAACCAACTGAGCCACCCAGGTGCTCCAAAACCATCCTTTCTTAATTTTAATGATCAAATATGCTGTGGGGAATGACTCAGTTCAGGAAAGAAAGGGAAAGAAAAAGGCAATGAAAAACACAATTTTTGGTTTTCCTTTTATCTTGATAAAGTTTTCAAAATCTTCATCTGAACTAAGGTTAAAGATCAGCCATTTGTGAGGTATGAAATAAGAGAGTCTGGTATAATGGAAAAGCCTAATCTAGGGTTCATCCCCCAGCTTTGCTACTTGCCAGTTACTGTAACTTCAAGCAAGTTTATTTACTTTCAGTTTCTTCATCTGTAAAATGGGTTGACACTACCTTACCCCACATCATTGTTTACAGCAATTAAAATAAGAACATACAGAGCATCTAGCAGTATCTTAGTACACCGGAACCTTTGATAACTGGGTCCCTCCTTCATTATCCTTTGCATCAATACATGAGCAAACTTAGGATGAATGTCTTATGTTTTTCATATATAAATATATGTATAGAGATTCAAAATCAGGAAAATAATACTGAAAGAATATATACTTACATTTAGTTTTTCAAGAGGTTGCCCTAAAGAGTAAATGACATAAGACTGAAGGTGATCTGTGTATTTTTGTTTGGCTTCTTTTTTTTCAGCTTCTAGACATGAGATTTTCAAACGAGAAAGTGTTGCAAAAATATGGTGAAAATTTTCCATCATAACTACATCCCTGGGGGTCTTCTGGCTTTCGTTTGCTACTTTCTCCACTAAAATAAAAAAAGAAAAAACATAATAACATCCTGACATGAGTATTACCATATTTAGCTATAAAAATATTTATGTGATTTTTTTTCATTTGTAAGTTTAAGAAGTAAGCACATTTCTGGACTTAAGATATTCTGAAGGTTCTTCATATCCACCTAGCCCTAATAAAAAAATCACTCTAAAATAGTCATATATACATATATATATGGAAATGTAGTATATAATAAAGGTGGCTTTTCAAATCAGTGGGGGAAATGATGAATTATTCAAATTGTGTTAGGACAACCAGCTGGTCCTTTTGAATACACTAATAAATCTGGATTCCTATTTCCCATTTTCAGCCAAACAAATTCTAAATCGCTCAAGTACTTAAAAATGTAAAAAGCAAACAGACAAATATAATCACAAGTACTAAGGAAAATAAAGCTAATTAAAAAAATAATTTTGAGGCGCCCTGGTGGCTTAGTCGGTTAAGGGTCTGCCTTCAGCTCAAGTCATGATCCCAGGGAACTGAAATCAAGTCCCCCATCGGGCTCCCTGCTCCGCGGGGAGCCTGCTTCTCCCTCTGCCTCCAGCTCCCCCTGTTTGTGCTCTCTCTCTCTCTCTGTGTCAAATAAATAAATAAATAAATAAATAAATAAATAAATAAATAAAATCTTTAAAAAAAAATAATTTTGTGATAGCATGACTTTTTTACAGATGGTCCAAAAATCATAAAGGGAGAGATGGATAAATCTGACATGTAATTTCAAAGCTCTTGCATAGTAAAAAAAAATACCACAAACAAAATCAATTTAAGTCTATTAAGTTGACAAAGAATAAAAAGACTGATATTCAGGGGCGCCTGGGTGGCTCAGTCATTAAGCGTCTGCCTTCGGCTCAGGTCATGATCCCAGGGTCCTGGGATCGAGTTCCGTGTCAGGCTCCCTGCTCCGCGGGAAGTCTGCTTCTCCCTCTTCCACTCCCCCTGCTTGTGTTCCTGCTCTCATTGTCTCTCTCTCTCTGTCAAATAAATAAATAAAATCTTTAAAAAAAAAAAAAAGACTGATATTCAGCATTAATGAGATGTGATGAAAACTTTCACCAACTGCTCAGAACACTAAACTGGTATGACCTTTCTGTGAGGCAGTTTGGCAAAGGCCTTGAGATCTAGGTAAACCTTTTGACCTGGTAATTCCACTTCCAGTAATTTACGCCAAGGAAACTATTGGACAAGAATACAAAAATATATGCAAAAAACTGGAAACAAAGTAAATGCCTATTAATAGGAGATTTAATAAATAATGATACATGGAATACTATGCAATCATCAAAAATGATTAGTTACAATATAAATTGACAAAAAGAGGCATTAAAATTTATAGAGTAGCATGTTCCAAAACAGAGTGTAAGGTATGATAAAAACTTTTACATTCAAGAACATACACACACATACACACACAATATGCACATATATATGAAGGAGAAATATTGAAAAATTTGGACGGATAAAAATTAAATGTTATCTTTCCTGACGAAATTACAAATTATTTTTATTTTTTTCTCTATTTTTAAAATCTGTTTTTTGATTTTTGGAGGTGTATAATGAGCATATATTACCTTACAGTCAGACAAAGCAAAGCTATTTTGAATTTAAATTTTTTTTTTTTTTTTTTTTACCTAGCCTCCATACCCAGAGTGGAGCCCAACCTGGGGTTTGAGCTCATGACCTTGAGATGAAGACCTGAGCTGAGCTGAGATCAAGTATTGGATGCTTAACCAACTAAGCCACCCAGGTGCCCCGAAGTTACTTTGAATTTTAAAAGAAATATCTACCATACAAACATTCAATCATGTAATTTATCTCTCTTTCCCCTAGACATGCTTCCACCGAAAATGTCATATGTAATTGGTAAGATGATTCCACTTCCTGTCAATTGTTTCAGCTTTTAAAATTCCTGAATATATGCAATCAGATCATTTATTTCAAACTAAATGGCACATCATACAGTTTCTGTAACTTAATTGTGGGATCTGCCATAGGAAGACAGTAGTTTAGCATTATTCTACCTTATGTGACAGATATGAAAACCGAGGCCTAAGAGGTAAATTGATTTGCTTAATGTTATACTGCCTATCATCTCCCGAAGACTCTTGCTAAAATGCAAATATAAAATCCCATTTTTAAATTTTTTAAAAAGGTTGTTTTTTTTGTGATTAAAAAAGGAATTCCAATTTTGCATAGCGATAATCCCATATGAACTAAAATAGAAGCGGTTCCTGATGAATATGAATGGGTTTTACGTACTGCTTATTTTTTCAGGTTTAAGAAATACCTACTTTCAGAAAACTTAAATAAGACTATAGAATATGGAAAATAATGAACATATCTATCCCCCAACTTAAGTGACCATAGTGAAAACAACGAACCAAAAAATTCTTTAGTACATAACAAAGCTTACCATTAACAAATACTCCTCTGATAAGTTTAGTATATGCTTTATCTAGATCTCCACGACGCTCAGCGTTTTTAAAGATCGATTCTGCGAGTCCAGCAAATTCTTCAAATTCAGCAACAAATGGAAGAATTCCTACTTTACTCTTCTTTGAGATTTTTACTTCTTCCATTTGCCTTATTTGGTTACTCTACAGTTAGGCAGAAAGCAAGGGAGAGAAATAGCCAAGCACGTTAGAAACAACATATAATCATAAGCAAATGTATATATCATAGGGGAAGGACATAATTTAGTATCTAGAACATTTTGGATGTTTACTAATTACAGATTAATACAATAGGGATAACCAAGAAACACTACTTTTATAGTTTAAAAAGTACATATTATTTAAAACAAGATACGATCAAACTTTGTGAAGCTCAAGTTTTTGTTCAAAGTGAAAACAAGCACTAAACAATTCTATCATTCATGAAAGATAAGTATAAGGCGATTGCTCATTTTGGGGCAGAGTAGATACCAGGGCAGGCACAGGATTTCTCTAGGTTATTTCTAGTTGGTGGCCATGTGGCCAAGTTTGAGAATCATAGTCATTTCCAATTCTCATTAGCCTAAAATTTGTGTTTGGACAGACCAGTTCTTTTAATTTGTGGATATGAGAACAGAGAGGGAGAACAGGCATTTCTACAATGGATTTACACTACATAAATTTGCCATGTATCTATTAGTTACTTATCCTATTTTTTCTCTATTTATTTCAGCAAAGTGCTTGTGTATGATGGCAACAAAGTACAAAAGGGATGTCTCATATAGACAAAACCTAGATATTTGGGTTCAAAAAGATCCATGAATTCAGTTATGGTTCTGTGTACTTCTCAGAGCATCTAGATAAGAATTACACTGCCAAATACTGTTAGACATTTTTACTTCTACCTAAAATTTCATAAATGCTTTTAGGGGCATAACTTGAAAATCCTAGGACATGTGGCTTAGAAAAGTATTCTTTGTAGGCTATAGGCATTATTATTAGAAAGTCCTGTGGAATACTGTCAACCACTTGATATTGTCTTTACTGCTACAGCATACCCATTTTATTGCACTTTGCTTTATTGCACTTCACAGATACTGCATTTTTTTTTTTTTTTTTTAACAAATCGAAGGTCTGTGGCAACCCTGTATTGGGAAGTCTGTCAGTACTATTTTTCCAACAGCATTTGCTCATTTCACGCCTGTGTCACACTGTGGTAACTGTTTGGCAATATTTCAAACTTTTTCAATATTCTTATATTTGTTATGGTGATCTGCGATCAATGATCTTTCATTTGGGGTGCCACAAACCATGCCCATATGAGATGGCAAACTTAATCAATAAATGTGTGTGTTCTGACTGTTCCATCAATCAGCCATTCCCCCATCTCTCTCCCTCTCCTTAAGTCCAGACACAGTTTTATTCTCTGAGACACAATATTGACATGTGGCCAATTAAGTGTTCAAGTGAAAGGAAGGGTCTCATGTCTCTCACTTTAAATCAATAGCTAAAAATGATCAAGTTTAGTGAGGAAGGCGTGTCAAAAGCTGACAGGCCGAAAGCTAGGCCTCTTGTGCTAAACAGTCAAGTTGTGAATGCACAGGAAAAGTTTTTTTTTAAGGAAATTAAAAGTGCCACTCCAGTGAACACACAAACTGTAAGAAAGCAGAACAGCCTTCTTGCTGATATGGAGAAAGCTTTAGTGGTCAGGATAGAAGATCAAACCAGCCACAACATTCCCTTAAGCCAAAGCCTAATCCAGAGCAAGGCCCTAACTCTTATTCTGTGAAGGCTAAGAGAGGTGAGGAAGGTGCACAAGTGTGAAGCTACCAACCTCTGTTGGTTCATGAAGTTTAAGGAAAGAAGCCATCTCCAAAACATAAAGTGCAAGGTGAAGCAGCAAGTGCTGATGGAGAAGCTGCAGCAAGTTCCCCAGAAGATCCAGCTAAGATCATTCATAAAGGTGGTCACACTAAACAACAGGTTTTCAGCGTAGACAAAACAGCCTTCTATTGGAAGAAGATGCCATCTAGGGCTTTCCCCTGGCTTCAAAGCCTCAGGGGACAGACTGACTCACTTGTTATGGGCTAATGCATCTGGTGACTTTAAGTTGAAGCCAATGTTCATTTACCATCCCAAAAATCCTAGGGCTTTTAAGAATTATACTAAATTTACTCTGCCGGTGCTCTATAAATAGAACAAAATCTGGATGATGGCTCACCTGTTTACAAAATGATTTATTGACTATTTTAAGCCCACGGTTGAAACCTACTATTCCAAAAAAGAAGAGATTCCTTTCAAAATATGACTGCTCATTGACAATGCACCTAGTCACATAAGAGCTCTGATGGAGATGGACAATGAGATCAATGCTGTTTACGTGTTTCCTAACACAACATCCATCCTGTAGCCCATGGGCCGAGGAGTCATTTCAACTTTCAAGTCTTATTATTTAAGAAAAATATTTTGTAAGGCTAAGCTGCCATAAATAGTGATTCCTCTGATGTCTCTGGGCAAAAGAAAGTGAAAACCTTCTGGAAAGGATTCATCATTCTAGATGCCATTAGGAATACTTGTGCTTCATGGGAAGAGGACAAAAGTAAGCCATGAACAGGATTCTAACCCTCATGGAGGACTTTGAGGCATTCAAGACTTCAGTGGAGGAAGTAACTGTAGCACATGTGGATGTGGTAGAAATGGTGAAAGAACTAGAATTAGGAATGGAGCCTGAAGATGTGACTGAATTGCTACAATCTCATGATAAAACTTTAATAGATGAGGAGTTGTTTCTTATGGATGAGTCAGGAAGGTGGTTTCTTGAGATGGTGAAGATGCTGTGAAGACTGTTGAAATGACAACAGATCGAGAATATTACATAAACTCAGTTGACAAAGCAGCAGCAGGGTTTGAGAGGACTGTCTCCCAATTTTGTGAAAGAAGTCTTCTTTCACAGTAGTATCAAATAGAGAAACTGTGAAAAGGAGAGCTGATTAATGAGGCAAACTTCACTGTTGTATTATTTTAAGAAAAGGCCAGAGCCACCCCAACCTTCAGCAACCACCACCCTGACCATCAGCAGCCATAAACATGGAGTCAAGACCCTCCATCAGCAAAAAGATTAGAACTCGCTGAAAGCACAGATGATGGTTAGCATTTCTTAGCAATAGTATTTTTAAATTAAGTTACGGACATTGTTTTTTAAATATAATGCTACTGAACACTAAAAGACTACAGTATAACATACACATAACTTTTATACGTACTGGGAAACCAAAAAATTCATCTGAATTCACTTTATTTCAATAACTCACTTTATTGTGACACTCGCTTTATTGCAGGAGCCTGGACCAACCGAGCCTGCAGTAACTCGGAGGTATCCCTATATTTCACTGTATCGGTATTGATCATTGTGTAAAGTAAAAATGGATGCAGTAGAGAGGGGAGCGTAAGGCTGCAGGTGTTGGAACCAGACTGTCCGGGTATGAATACTAATTCCGTCACTTTTTACTGTCGACCTGGGCAAAGTAACATAATCTCTCAGAGAGTCTACCTTATGGAGGCGGGAGGAGGTTGTGAAGATTAGATGAGATAATGTGTGCAAGGTGCTTAGACCTGTGCCTGGTACACAGTAAGGACTAATTTATGAATGCTGGTCTATGGTGGTTATTAAGCTGCATGAAGATTTCTGTTCAGTGTGGCACATAAAGGCACAGGATATAATTATAGCCTGAATATACTTAAACATTAACAGGACATATTTTATTTATTTATTTATTTTAAAGATTTTTTATTTATTTGACAGAGAGAGCACAAGCAGAAGGAGAGAGAGGGAGAAGATGTGGGACTCGATTCCCAGAGCCTGGGATCATGACCTGGGCCGAAGGCAGCCGCTTAACCGACTAAGCCACCCAGGCGTCCCAACAGGACATATTTTAAATGACAGTTGTCTTTTCTGGTGTTGTAACTGGTAGAATAGAAACAATGCATTCATTTAAGAAAAGAGCCATTAGGGGGCGCCTGGGTGGCTCAGTCGGTTAAACATCAGATTCTTGGTTTCCGCTCAGGTCATGATCTCAGGGTTGTGAGACTGAGCCCTGCATTGGCTCCGTGCTGGGCGTGGAACCTAAGATTCTCTTCCTCTCCCTCTGCCCCTTCCCCCGCAGCTCACACGCATGTGTGCATGTGCACTCTCTCTCTCAAAAAAAAAAAAAAGCCATCAATGAATTAAATCTTATAGAAATAAACTTTTTCTCAAGCTCAATGTATACATTATTTGCAGCTGACTGCTTGACATAGAGGTTAGTCAATGACTAAAACTACAACTTTGATGCGAGGCACACATCACTATATTACTTATCCATCCTCTGTCCATGGCATTTTAACCAAATCATATCATTCTCAAAGGTTTAAGAGCACAAATCCTTATCACTATAGTGTGAAGAGTCCTGAAAAGTAAATTAAGTGCAGATAAGAAATGTATGGGACTGCAGAGCCCAGCGTGGTAGTACCTGGTATGTCACTTACTTTCTAACTTCAGCTCTAGCTCAGGCTACGCTAGCTTTCTTAGTCCCGTTCTTTGAAGAACAGCAGATACTCTGAGCTTGGCCACCAGTTGAAAGAGCCAAACTCAGGTGCTATCTGTTCCATTTTCTGCAGCCATCTGACATTCATGCTTTTGGCTCAATACAAACAGGCCCATTTATTACCTTTTCAAGGTATGTGTTAGGTCCTAATCTTGTCCCAAATACCAAAACATAACACGTACTGAGTACACGCTATCCACCAGACACTGTGGGAAGACATCAGTTAAAATAAGAGACAGCGGGATATCCCTTTAGTGACAAAAGATAGAGCCTTCAGAAATATATGCAATTTTATGAGAAAATACTGAGTTTACACCTTTGTCTAAGTTCATTTTACTTTCTTTTTCCACTGTTCAGTCTTGAGAATAACATGAACATTGTTTAATGAACTATTGTTAATTACTACCACCATCATGAGCCATCAGTTAGTAAGGCTTTTTTCTGTGCAAGGCAGTGTGCTAATAAGCACTCCATCTGAACCCACATCTATATTTATCTGACACTACATCCTATGCTTTTAACAATTATGCTCTGTTGGATTGACAGGTGTTACATAGAGTTATATTTTACTGATAAAAGCAACAAAGCCTTCATAGTCTAGAAATGTAGTGTCCTCAAGATTTAGTGTTCCTGCTATGTCATACAGGACTCATTATCTTAGCTGGTGGCAGCTCTTACTTTTCTCTTTGGCTCTCAGCTTGCAGTCAGACCCTCTAGGTTTAGCGTCACTGCAGGAGAAGGCGGGAAGGGAGGAGGGTAAGCATTAAGCGGTCAAATTTCATAGTATTTCAAATACCAAGTGAAGTTATGTGGCAAGGAAAGAGGATTAACAAGCCTGTTGAGGCGACATTTAAGTTTCTATAGTGAACGTAGATCGCCTTTATACTTTAAAAACTCAATAAATATTATTTTTCACGAGTACAAAAATGATGTGGATTTTAATTGCCCTTAATATTTTTATCTCCTATTATTTTATGGATATTCAAGAGCTGGATATAACTTAGAAGTTACATAGTAGAAATATTCAAATGGTAGACATGCTAACTACATTAATAAAATGAAGCTTTTATTTTAGAACCTGGCCCAGCCCAATTCATACCTACAAGCTTACCAAAACCTAGCAGACAAAAATAAAATTGTTAATGATTTTTCTTTCCTATTAGAAGGAAGAACATAATGACTGCTGGAAGTTAACATAAGAATAATATATTCTCTATTTTTTTTTAAAGAATTTTTTAAAGATTCATTTATTTATTTGGGGGGGCACCGGGGGAGGGAGAGGGACAAACAGGCTCTCACTGAACACAGAGCCCGATGTGGGGCTCCATCTCAGGATCCTGAGATCATAACCTGAGCGGAAACCAAGAGTCAGACACTTAACCAACTGTGTCACCCAGGCGCCCCCAAAGAACACTGTATTCTTAAAATAAAACAATATGATCATTAATTACAGCTGTTAAACTAGTAAACTAATAAACCTAATTAAGTAATTTAAAGAATCAATTAAACTAATCCAATTATTAATTTTCTTATCAGAACATATTTTAAAAAGAACAACAACAATAAATCCAAATGATAGTTTCAATTGTTTTATGCGATCTATGGTCATTCATCAGTTAACTGAGATTTCAGTTACCTAGTGGATCTCTCAAGCAGCTGCCGCCTGTATGGCACTTACTCCAGAACTTGCCAAGATTCACACACAGTATAGAAGGGAAACTAGCTGGCATAGTAGCATCCAGCGAACTCTGTGCCTATAAACTGAAGCCAACACTCTGCTTTGGGGCTTTGAGGGATGTGAATAGTAGATCACTCAAGGGAAAACTGGAAACCTCTTGATTTAAATACATTTACCTATTTTTTGCAATGATTAGAATTCTAAGTTATTAAAAAAAAAAAAACCAACAACTTACAATGCATTTGTCAAAGTTCCTTTTGACAGTCACCAAAACATTTCCTAATGTAGTACTCAGAAAAGAAGCAGGGTCCACATTCTGGGCGGTCCACACATGATGACTCATTTTGACAAGCATGTAGAGGGAGTTAAAACTATCAATTTTGTCTCCTAATGCAATTAGGTTGTTCAGTTCTGGCTCAATGCAGCGAAATATTTTAATCATCATCTGACGGATCATATCTTTCCTGTTCAGAAAACATACAAAATATAGGAATTTATTACAAGTTTCCTGTCTTGATCTTTAACTTTAATCCATTGCAAATATACAAAATGACTAAAATTTTACATTTCAATGAAAAATGTCCAAATATGATGACCTAATTATTCTACAGCAGTTTTCAACATAAAAATATTTTTTCCAACATAAAAATATTTTCTGAAGTTAAGTTTTATTACTCAAAATACAACTTCATGTCATTTGTAAAGCTGGATCCTGAAATGTGCTTTTGTAATTTCTGAGAAATACCCTGCAATTCAAATGCTACTTCTTACCAGCAAACATTAAAACTGATTGCACCTTTCTGTGATTACTAGAGCCAAAAAGAGCGGAAGGGTCAGACAATAGGACCAATTTTAACTCAGTAAGATGTTTGAGAAGACACTGGGCACACAGGTCAGTGCTCTGAGTGCTGTCACATTACCAGAATCATCTGGCTCCTCACTGAACAACACTCCTTCAGGCTCAATTTTAAGTCCCCCCACCCCTGATAAATGACAGTAACAAACACGTACTCAGAAGAGACAGGTGGTGGCACGCCAGCATTATGTTGCCGGGATAATGTTCCTCCATCTAGGTCCTCTGCTTCAGTCTGCAAAAATTATTCAGGTACTTTACATAATAAAAGACCAACAATTTGACTAGTTTATATAGCAAAAGCCTGCTCAGTCTTAAAATTCCTAGGAGAGAATACATTATGAAGAATAATGATTTTTAAAGGTAGTACTATTGATAAAACTACATAATTTAGTATATTGTTTAAGAATGGTTATGAAATGTTTTGTTCTTAGATTTTATCTGAGAATTATTGTGGCCTGAGAAGATGTGCTTGTGTGTATGCACATGAGGGGAAAGCAGGGACAGAGAAGGTACAGGAGGCTCAGAGGGGGTGTGAGAATGGGGGAGGGCAGCTCAAAAAACCAGAAACGATTTTTAAGAGAGAATTTTAAAAATTAAAGAAATTTCATCAATGTTTAAATAAAACATTGGCATTTAAAAAACGCTATTAAAAATTCTTAGAGAGGCTAACAAATAAGCAAATTTACTATCACTATCACTTATAACAACAAATTCATTTTATGATTGCTTTTTATATGTTGGTTCTGTTTTTTAAGATGACCTTATTTTTTTTCAAGTAAGCTTTACGCCCAACATGGGGTTCAAACTCATGGCCCTGAGATCAAGAGACGCATACTCTACCAACTGAGCCAGCCAGGCGCCCAAGATGACCTTAATTTAAAAATCATTTTATTTGGGGGCACCTGGGTGGCTCAGTTGTTAAGCGTCTACCTTTGGCTTGGGTCCCAAGGTCCTGGGATCGAGCCCCACATCGGGCTCTCTGCTCAGCAGGAAGCCTGCTTCTCCCTCTCCCATTCCCCCTGCTTGTGTTCCCCTCTCTCACTGTATCTCTCTCTGTCAAATAAATGAATAAAATCTTAAAAAAAAAAATCATTTTATTTGCATTGTGCTTTTAACTTTTTCAAAATATTGCAGCAGCCTCTCATTTTATTTTCTTACATTTATGCCACCTGAGAGGCATGCTGAACAGGTATTACTATATTCAATGTACACATAAGGAAAACTGGGGATTAAATACTTGGTTTAAGGTCTCAGAGCTAGTTAGTAACAAAGGCATAGGCAAGGTTCAGATTTGGGGCTTGTTTCTTTCTTCTTCTTTTTTTTTTTTGCTAGAACATGGTATACACACTCAAATATTTTTTTCTTTTGAAAATTATATTTTTTCTTGGTGACTACTAAAATGCTAAAATTTATTTTTTAATAATATTTTTTACAAAGTAAATTCAGACATTTCCCCCTCACTAAGTTAGAGGATATTTAGGTCAAAGACAATCTGGAATATTAAATAAGATGCTCCAACTCCAACTATCACTGTTTTTATTATCTTGTGGTATGACAAAAATTACTGAAAAAAATCCTTACATCATAAATTTTTTCTTTTTCTGTTCTGATACTGAAAGTGTGACAATTAATTAGGCTAATTATCCTACAGATTATCAATGTTAGCCAATAAATAAATATGAGCCATACCATGGTTCCAGGCATACTTTGATGTTGCTGCAGTTTGAAAAATTTACTTATGAAGTCCTGTTCTGCCAGACACAAGGGCTCTAGTTCACTTAGTACCTGTTCAAAGATCTGAAGAAAACAAAAATGAACTGCACCAAATGCTTAAAAAAATCTTCTACATTTAATTCACTTTTCTGTAGGGATCATAGATGCTTTATGTATAATCTCAACAGAATCCCAAAAGAAACTATTCCAAGATTGATAGGATGATGCAGAAGTATCGAGGCTTAACAGGGCCAGACATACCTAAAATAAAACTCACAATAATTATTCACTTGAAATCTGGAAAGAGGAACACAGAGACAAACTTTTTAAACTTAATGCATCGCAGACAACAGTTTAGCTTCATAAAAGCTGTTATTTCCTCTTTACTTTGCAGTTGGCTCAAAGAACTTAGAGATACAAGCTCTTAATGATTTATAATAAATTTTAATTAAGCTGTTATGTCAATGAATTGATAATACACATTTCAGTTGCCATTTCACTAGTATTTTTTACAAATTCAGAATTCAAAAGATATGGTTAATTCAGAGAGCCAACATAGCCCAAATCCTTGAACACACTTAAAGCAGTAATAAACTGCTATTAGAAAACTAATGTTAATGTTTAAGACATACTTGCTATATTATTTTACCTTATCAAATTTGGTCCTGTCGGCAACATCGAGATCAGAGGCAGACATGTTTCCCATATCCAACAAAGAAGATGACTGAGATCTGCGATTCCCTGAACTCTGAACGCTGAGTTTATTTAGACTAGAAGTAGATCCAGTTAATTTCCCAGAACTTCCATGAAGACCTAAGAAATAATAAAACTTTGACAGTTGTGACCTTCATGAATAAAAGACCCATAGCATAAATGAGGGCTCTCTTCTACTGTCTTTGTCTTCAGTGCTCTTATCGCCCAAGTCTACCGCATGGGGCGGGCTATAGAGTGTCCTGCTCTCTCATTAACATTTGTGTCCTATTCTTGAGCATATTACAAAGAGTAGTGAAACTACAATCTACAGAATAGGACTGAAAGGGGTCTTAAAGATCACATAATCTATACCCTGCCTAGTACCACCAAAGTTGCCATATTTCTAAAGTAGATGAAGACTTCCTTTCTACTCAAAAGACATAAATATGGATGAAGGCCAATGACTCCTTAATGTACTAGCTAACATGACTTTTTTATTTTTATTTTTTAATGACTTTTTTTTGTTTCTGAAGAAAATGGCCATATCCCAATATTACTAGCCTCCACATTAAATGAAAATATTGGGGTGAACCATACGAATCTGCCAATACTCAATCATTCTTGCCCTACAAAAAGTCAATTACATATGATTCAACTTAAAACATTCCTGAACCCAGAAACTCTGCTTTTGCAATAAGTGATTAACTACAGCTCTTTAAAAACTATACAAAATGAAGAGGAAAAAACCACCCTGAAAACTTGTTATACTTAAAATACAACTAAAATATAATATATACATCATGAACTATATAATATGGGACATCTTTGAGGAGAAATGAGAACAATGTGGCTGGACAATATTCTACATCTATCAAGGAATTAAAGGCTTTCATTTTTACAAGAAAATGTAACATTTTTATTCAGAATTAAATAACAATAAATAATTTTTTTAATCTTCTAAAATATTTCGGAATTAAACTATATTATTTGCTGATGGTCAGAAGGGACAGATGAAGACATAATAAGGACAATTAAAGATAAACTTTGGTTTCATTATGCAAAATCTGACCATATCTATAAGAATTTTCATAATTTCTTTTCTTTAAAGAATTTTTATAATTTCTAAACACAGCCTGAAAAGAAGTTTAATGGTTAAGCCTTTTCATAAATTTCTGACTACCCACCATAGATTTTGAATTACATTTCTTGAATGTAGTCATACCACAACCATGATGTTGGTTTTCCTTCATCGAACCTGGCAACTCAGAGCAATCAATATTTTTGGTGTAACTTTTTTCAAGACAAAAACTAATTTCTAGACATTAAACAAACATGCATTGAGAATACCTACTAATACACTAAGCATACTCACTCTCTGTTTCCTGTTTGACAGCACTTTCTTTTCGAGGCAGTGTAGCTGTGATGGATTAGGTTGCAAGCATCAAAGACAAAGACAAGTTAATAAACTGCAATTTGCACAAACCATGCACAAGAGGAAGTTAAAGCTCTAGTTTAAAAGACACATGCAAAGAACCATGAGCATCAAGTAACAAGAGGTGCAACATATGTTTAGTTGGTCAGCTACTGTTTGACAAATTCTGAGAGAAAAAACTTTACTAGTCTAATGTTTTGTTTTTAATCAAATATTCAGGTAAAAATATCTATATTTGTCAACCCCTTCCCCAATACTTTTAAGTGATTTTTTTTTTTAAGTTTATGGAGCTAGCGTGCTTAAAATTTAAAAGGCTACATTTGTAAGTTTTGGTTTCTGAAAAAAAAAAACAGTTCAAGTAAAAGTGTTTCTTACATTTTTTAAAAGTCATTTTATTTTATTTTATTTTGATCATAATAAGTGTACTCTTTAATCCCCATTCCCTCTTTAACCCATCCCTCCCTGCTCTCTGGTGACCCTCAGTTTGTTCTCTATAGTTTTAAAGTGTCTGTTTCTTGATTAGTCTCTCTCTTTTTTCCTTTGCTCGTTCATTTTGTTTCTTAAATTCCACATATGAATGAGATTATATGGTCAAGTAAAAATATAATAAAGTAGAAATTTATTAGAATGAAGTTGTAGACTTAGACATTAAGCGCATCAACATTCTCACTCCCTGAAAACTCCTGAGAGGAGTCTCCATTGTACTGAACAATGTTATACCATACCTGATAAAAAATTACATGAGTGGGGCTTTAAATTCATTTCAAAATATCAAGCTGAACTATTTAGTAACTGGCTTTATGAACACCTAGAATGGCAAGTATATATCAAAATACTAATTATCAGGAGATGAGTGGATGGGAGGCTAAAGCCAAAGGAACAGGCTTAATACAGGAATTTGAGCTCTTTTAGGGTCATTTGGCATTTCTTTTATTCTAAAACTTCTCTCTCTATAATATTTATTAGATCAATTATAGAGATCATCTTCTGAAACATTCTGAACTCAAATTAGAAGTTAATGTGAAAGGCAAAGAAAGAAATTATAGAATTAAAGAGAAAAATAAAGAATGTAACTACAACCTGGGAATATTTTAAAAACAGAGAACAATGTATCAACTTGTCACTATTCCTACCAAACTTTAAGGCAAAACCCAAGTAAAAGCTACTACCTTGTCATACCAGGGATATATCTATCTGTGCAGCCCTAGCTACATGAAGCTTAAGGGAGTATGAAACACCAAGGCTAGACATTAAAGTGGTAAGCAGGGATCATGCTGGAGCTACTAGCTGTCCAATCTGAACAGTACCTTCTGGAGGCCTTAAGGTGTCACTATACGAAATTCACCAGTTTCAGAGCAAAGCCTGACACTTCATACACTTTTTTTTTTTTTGTACCCAATGAAGAATACAGAGTTACTAGTAGTGCCAATTAATTATAATTTGGGGCTCATCAAAGCCTATATTATTTATCAGCAACAAGCAGTATTCAGATAACCTTTTTTTTTTTTTAAAGTAGGGGCTTGAACTCATGACCCTGAGATCAAGACCTGAACTGAGATCAAGAGTTGAATGCCTAACCTACTGAGCCACCCAGGTACCCCTTCAGGTAACCTTTTCCATATCTTTAAATAATCCCTATTAGACTGTATTCTTCATGAGGTAGGGTCTTTGCTTATTGCTGCATTCTCAGTACCTAGCAGTGCTTATTATATTTATTAAATGAATTTTCTAGGAACCAACAAGATTCTTAGTTTAAGTAGAGAAACATAGAATGTTTTTTTGTAACATTGTTACAAAATTACAAAATGTAATTTTGACATACCACTTTTAAGATTTGGAATATTAAATACAAGGGAGGCAGTAATTATATAAATGCATATGTTAAGGGACTAAAATAATTGTGTGTGTGTGTTATTTCAGCTATAGAAAGAAAAAATTGGTGATTTTAAAAATAATTTCTAAATTTCGTTTGCCTGCCATTTCATTAAGTATATTTGTAGAACACAAGGGGAAGAAACCTCACCAAAATATCATTCTTGAGGGGAAAATTTCATGCCTCTGAGTTTATCAAAGTAAACCTATTAATTAAAAAAGGCAATTACCTATGTAAAGACCTTAACACAAAGAAAAGATATTTGCTGGTATTTTAACATTATTCTGAATTACGTGAATTAAAGTGATGTTAAAGTTGAGTCAAAAGTGGTTCAAAAAGGGGCGCCTAGGTGGCTCAGTCGTTAAGTGTCTGCCTTCAGCTCAGGTCATGATCCCGGGGTCCTGGGATGGAGCCCCGCATCAGGCTCCCGGCTCAGCAGGAAGCCTGCTTCTCCCTCTCCCACTCCCCCTGCTTGTGTTCCCTCTCTCGCTGTGTCTCTCTCTGTCAAATAAATAAATAAAATCTTAAAAAAAAAAAAGTGGTTCAAAAAGAGAGTATTCCCCTGTATCTCTATGACTATATTGACTATACATTTCCTTTTGTAAAGTACATTCAATCTGACTTTCTATTCTTATTAGTATCTATGACCCAGAATTTTCAGAGCAAGTAAAAAACAAAAAAATTAAATTTTATTTATAATTACTTCATTTTGATTCATGGACAAGTTATCTTTCCAAAATTTCAGGTTTCTATTTTAATTATAATTACTATTAAAAGCTGATTTAAACACATTTTGAATCACTGAAAAGGTATTTAAAAAAATTTCCATTCTACCTTATTTAGAATTTAAGTCATTTGTATTTAACTTTTCCTCTGAATTCTGTTTATTTAGTTTTTCTTCTCTTGTAGCTGATATCAAAATAACTGGAACTATGATTTTCTGGTGCCATCAACCATTACAAATTACTCTTCTGTTATTATTTGATACATAAGAAGAAATGTGATTTTAATGCTATTTTAAAACTATAAAAGTGCCTTCTAAACTTCTAATTTAAAAATATTTTAAACAAAATAATTTAAGAACTTCCCAAGAGGAAGAAAAAGAAAAAATTTAATTTTCAGGTTAATGCAATGATACCATTAAGATACTATTGTATTTGTTTCAAATTACATTTTTGTTATGTCATTTATCTCAATGTGAACCTTAGGCTTGATAAATTATTATGATAATGGGATTAATGACCTCCTAAGGAGATAATTTTAGAAAGATTTCCCTTTTGCCTCCAGTTTTCATATACTGTAGAAGAGTTCTCTCAAAATACAATGGTTCACTAACAAGTGGTGACAAATATACTAAATGAAAACATTAAACATGTAACTGAATTAATATGCTGCTTACTTAAAAAAAAAAAAAAAGCATAACATACCCACAGTGAAACATTAACAAGGATATAAACACATTGCTGTTTAAGAACAATAACCTTTAGGATGAGTTAGCATTTCTGTTTCCAAAAGCCTATGGTCCCAAGATTCTTATCAGTATCTTTACCTAAGTGTAACATATTTGTACACAGATTCAAAACATTTCAAAAGTCTGGACTAGTATAATCAATATATTAGTGTTGAATTAAAAAACAACAACAGCAAATTACTAAATAATTACCCACTAAAGACAGTCTTCTCTGTCCTAAAGGATAAGAATGGAAAGATGTGCTATCAATTTCAATCCTGTTTCCTGATTACCAGAGGTTGCTTAGGGCATAGGCTCCTTTCAACAAGCAAATGCTAAACTCATTATTCTAAAGGGGAACTATGCAGACACACTGAGGAGTACACATTGTAGCCATTTAAGGCCAGGTTTTGACTTGAATAGGCACAGAACTCCATCCAAAAAGGAACTCCAGAGATGGGTACATGCAAGAGCAGAAAGTGGCCTCGGCAAATCACCTTCCTCACAACTTGATACTTTCACTGGTTATCTTTTCAAATGTTTCCGTCTGTCCACTTAACATACTTAAAAGCAACAATTTTAGCATGCTTGAAAAATATCTCTTAGGAAAAATAAGGTATAATCACAGGAGAAATTTGGGTGACATTTTTACAGCTTGACCCGGGAGGAAACACAAACTTTCTTTTTGATTCAAAATAGCCAGTGAGAAGTAAGAAGCCAGGAATTACTTTCATTTCCCTATAAAGAGCAATGACTTAAGAGATCAATGACTTGCCACCAACTGCTAAAAAAGGCCTTTTAGGAAGTTGGAAACTGAACTCTCAACATGTCTCTTAAGCCTTGTACTTTCTCAACCAGACTGCAATTCATTTTCTGGTCAACTACTTTTCCCATGAATAGATGCTTTCAATTACGGCATGAATACACAATTGCTGTCAGATTCATCTACTACAGAATTTTAGTAAAAGCCATATTTACAGATACAAATATTTGTTCTGTGAAGTAACTATAAATCAAACCAACGCATCAGACTTACTTTTTCATCAGTTCTACTGTATCTTCTTCCACCTTGCTCTGAAAAGTCTTAGAATTATTTGTCATAAATAAAACCACTTTTAATAGAATAAAAACAATGAACTGAGGTGTCTAAGCTTACCAAACTTCTTGCTTTCTTTGGTTGTGCCAGTCATCTTGATCTTTGCAACTTCAAAGAAATCTTTAATTTCTCTCTCATATAGTCGTGATAAATAATCCATGTAATTCTTAAAATAAAAGTAACAGGTACTTCTTATTAATAAAACAAATATAACAATTCAGTCCCCCCAAATCCTTCGTGCTTGCTTTAAATTTTCTGGTCTAAAATCCTGATGTATTTCATAGGATTTAAAAAGTCGGCTGTTTTCTGTCTTAAAAAAAAACTGAACAGGCATCAAAACAGCAATTCACAAAAATATGAAGTTGAACATAATCACACTGATATTTTCATTTTTATGCATTATCTTTCATATATTTTAAATAGAGGTGCACTCATACTATATAAGATATTTGGGTCAGAGCAATCATGTTTCTCCAGTCTCACACTTTAATGACTATACAGTGTTATGCTTTGTTTATGTACCGCAATTCAGCAAATCAATCCCCTAGCAGAGGCCACTTAAGTGGTTTCAATGTTTTGCTATGATAGACGATGTTACAATAACCTTTTCATCTTTAATGAATTGTTTTCTTGGAATCGTATCCTAAGGGTGGAAATACAGGGCCAAAGAATATGGGAATTTTTATAACTGTTCCTCCATCCTGCCATGTTGCTTTTAAAAACAATCATACCGACAGACAACAGCAACAAAGGAGCACATTCAGTCAGTGTTGCCTGTCAACTTAGAGTATTAAGGTATAACAAAAACAGGCTATTTTCGGGGTACCTGGGTGGCTCAGTCATTAAGTGACTGCCTTCGGCTCAGGTCATGGTCCCAGGGTCCTGGGATCGAGCCCCACATCCGGCTCCCTGCTCAGCGGGAGGTCTGCTTCCCACTCCCCCTGCTTGTGTTTCCCTCTCTCGCTGTGTCTCTCTCTGTCAAATAAATAAAAATCTTAAAAAAAAATAGGCTATTTTCAATAAGCTTAGGGTATTTAGGTATACCAAAATAAGTTATTTTCAATAAGAATTTAATTATAATTAGCACATCTTACAGTTTTCACAATCATTTTTTAAAAACAAATTGGATTTATTCTAGCTCAAATGGAAACATCTATAATTTTGTTTGTATGCTTACAAACTTATTTCTTCATCATATCTGCTTACTATCACATAAAAATATTTTATGCTCTCAGGAAGGATTCTTCACCAGTGGGAGACCCTATATTTTACCAAGTCCTAAGTTAAATGCCATACAGAGACTAAATTTAAATAAATCCACAGGAGAAAAACTGTACTTGGTTATTCTTTTAAATTTATCATGGAATCTAAGCTTCAGCTTCCTTTATAATTTCAAATTAATATATTGTTTTTTTTAAGATTTTATTTATTTATTTATTTGACAGAGAGAGAGAGAGAGCACAAGCAGGGGGAGCGGCAGGCAGAGGGAGAGAGACGCAGGCTCCCTGAGGAACAGGGAGCCCAATGTGGGGCTCAATCCCAGGACCCTGGGATCATGACCTGAGCTGAAGGCAGACACTTAACCAACTGAGCGACCTAGGCTCCCCAATACATTCAGCTTTAGAGCAGGTTTATGTTGCTTTAAACATCAGGTGCACCTTTCAAAAGGTATATATTATGTGAATATTTGTATCCTGACTCATAGTTTACCACTGATCTTCTTAGTTTATAGATATATCCTTATAAAATAGTATTTGGATGAAACATAGTATTATAAATCCTTCGGTTTTTCAGTTTGTAGGCCATCCATATATATCTCCCACATTGTCTCTGCAAGGAAAACAGTCAAATGGGCAATTCTTTCCTATGATCTTTGCATAAATTTAAAAGCAAATATAAATTAAAATATGCCCTAAAATTAATTCCTATTTCACTGGGCTGTCTCACTTTTTCAATGTCTCACTTTTTCAAGCTTAAATTCTCATAAAAATACTGATCACTGCAAATGAGTAAATAGTTGACAAACAGAAAATTAGTTTCACGTAATTTATGAAATCATCTGTGGTTTCTACTCAAATCATTCAACATAACAGACTGCATTCCAATACCCAAATTGTCTAAAGTGCACATTACTCCCCAAGCAATTTAAACAATTTCAAAACAGCTCTTTGGTATCTAGAAAACAGTGACATGAGCAGACTACTGAAAATCACCCCCTTTTCCACTGCAACTTGAATGACTGGATACCTTTTTTCCAGCTACATAACAGAACTCATTGGTGGGAAAGACCACAGACAGGTGTAACCATCAGTTCATTCATTTACCAAATTCTGAAGGATGTCTCTTATGAGGTGCCTCTTAGCACCTTGAATACAGCACCTTACATTTAACTATCATGAGTTTAAATACTGTTGTTTCTGGCAGTCTTTTCAACTTTACATTGTGTTGACTGTGCAGTCTTACCAAGATCTCTATATTTTACTTTTTCTTTACACAAATGGCTAAATTCCACAAATGCAGAACTGAGGTTGAGAGAAGAAATCTCGGTAATCTTCAAGACTGACCGTCAACCTCGGGAGATTACTAGGAGAGGAAAGCTCATTTCCTCTCCAAGCATGAATGGAACATCTCTATTATTAACTGCCCTACATGAATAACCCAGAGCCACAGATAGGGGTTGTAGTCCTGGGGAAGAAGGAATCTGGGCAGTTGAACTATTTCCCCTAAGCTCTAATTATGTATACTAAAACTCGATTCAGCCCTAAGCAGAGCTGGGGCAGTGCCTACTGATTCTTATCCCTTAAAGAACGGAAAAAGGCTTTTCTTTTTCCTGCCAGAAAGCATGAGAGCTGTGTACACCCAATCAAGTGCAAACAGTATCTGCATTTAATTATTATTTCTTACTAAAGAAGTACTGGTTTGTCTGTTTCCTTCTTTCTTTCTTTTCTTTCTTTCTTTCTTTCTTTCTTTCTTTCTTTCTTTCTTTCTTTCTCTTTCCTTCCTTCTTTCATTCCTCTCTTCCTTCTTCCTTTTTAATAAAATTCCTGTTTTTGATAACTTCAGCAACCAAATTAGATTATGAGGTAAAATACATAGTCTGTCAAAAGTTCAAACCACAGGATCAAGTAACATTCCTGGGAAATAAGTTAATTTCATTTAAAAAGCTCATTAATATTGTCAATCAAAACTATACTGTGAGCAGAGAATGATTCCATAAATCATTGCTAGGTTGGCTATCGCCTTGTTTCTTCACTTAAATTACATTCATGAATACTGCATTATATATAAAGATAGGGCAATAATACTCACTGAGAACACAATTAGGCAAAAAGCTTATTGATTACTTTACTTATTTGAATATTCACTAGGGGCAAAGCACTTGTTGGCACAAAACTCTTAAGGAGATATAATAATGTTTAATTATTCAAAATATTAATCCTCCTAAAACTTCAAAAGAAGAATTCCAGTACTGTAAATATTTTTCCTTAAGATATCTCCAAATCAGAATTCTGTTGAATGAAAACAAAACAAAACAAAACAAAATATAACACAACAGTAGAGTTGCAGAACACTTAAAAGACTAATTCCGAAAAACAAAAGTAGTCTTATCTAAAACAGCTGACAAGATATATATAAATACCCCAGGATACTTATATTCTTTTTGAAAAGCATTTTTTTTAAATTATACTTTAAAAATATTATTTATTTTACCAAGGTTTATGTCCTCTTTCTTATCTCAGTTTAGAAGTAAAGGGAGCCAGATCTTACTTTAAGTGGGCAAAGGCACTTTGAGGAGAAAACATAAAGACTGATATACAAGAATGTCCTCATGTCAAGTGTGTTCATACTGATACATTGATAGGAATGTACAACCTGCTTTTTTCTTATCATCATAGTGCTCATAAATTTCTACCTAATCCTCTGCCTTCTCATGAAGCATGAACCTAACATCAGAGGAAGTTGTAATAATTATTTCAGTAAGTATGAAGATAAAATGGGTTCATGTATAAACATTAGTTTCCTGAGAGAGAATAATCTTCATTATAAAACACTCTGAAAGATAACACCGTTTTTTGAGTAATACTAGGAAAAACTTTGGCTAGCAAAACTAGCAAAAAATAAGATGATTTTGCTATCTAAATTCTGTTAGGAAATTTTCTGTCACAAGCACATGGGTTGAGGGGAAGAGCTTTTATATTAACAATCTCAATATTTTTGTTTTCACTCCAAGAAACAAAACACATCACTCTCTCCAATTCGAGAACATTGTTTTCAGGCCATATTGTCCACATAATTAAATTATTACTATTTATTAAAATTAAGTTATGCATTACTTAATTTATTTTTAAACTCCAAATTCGTAAAAACTTAAAAGAGTTTACATGTTTTTCAGGGTATTTCAGAATTTTAAGCAAACTGCTCTTATATCTGATATATAAATATAGCTATTTATATACTGGAATTAGGTAGCAATTCTTCAGCTCCCTAAGTGACATGGTCAATTCCAATACTAAAGGTCATAGCAGAAATGCAAAAGTATTGTACCCATGGCTTCCCGCCACACTGGCCATTTATTAAAGCTAAATCAGATCATGTCATTCTACTGCTCGAAGCCTACCAAAACCCCCTCCCCCAGCTCCTTCACAGTAAAAGCCAAGTCCTTACCATGGCACACAGTCCCTTCCAGATCTGCCCCGCCCCACCCCCACTTTACCTCTCCTAGCTTCCTTCTAAGGTCCAGGCCTTGGTGCTCTGGGCTCCAACCCCAGTGCTTCCTTGCTGCTCCCCCAGGACACCAGGCATGCTCTTGCCATAGACCACTTGTACTGTGCCTGGAAAGCTTTCCCCAAGAAACTCACACTGCTCAGCCCTGTTTTTTTTTTTTTTTTTAAGATTTCATTTTTAAGTAATCTCTACACCCAACATGAGGCTCGAACTCACAACCCTAAGATCACGAGTCGAATGTTCTACCGACTGAACCCGCCAGGCGCCCCACATCCTTGCTCATTTTAAAAATCTACGCTCAGATGTTATCTTCTCATGATGCCTTATTTCAAACTATAGTCTTCCCCCAGTCCCAGCATTCCCTGCTTTATTTTCACCAGAGCACTCAGCAGTACCTTCTAACATACTACACAACTGACTTTTTTGTCAAGTCTTTCTCCACCAAAACATGCGCTTTGAGAAGGCAAGCATTTGCCCATTTCCTTTGGTGCTGTATCTCTAGCACTTACGTAGAACATAACAGATGCTCAATTCACATATGAATGAATGACTCATCTTCTGCAGTTGCTGATGTTTCTGGCACTGCTCTTCTAATCTCCAAGCCTAGAAAGTTTGGCATCATCCTGTCCCTTCCATCCTTGGAGTCTCTCTTTTGGTTCCTATTCCCTATTCCTACCACTATCTTCCTGGGTCAGATTTCATTTCATCTGAATTATTATATTAGGTTCTTATGAATTTGCCTCATCTAGTCTTTTCCCATGTATGAGGAATGCTGTTAGGTCTCATGGCTCATCTTTTTCAACATAATTTCTCACTGCTCCAGAATATGAAATTTCTGCTTCATAGGCTTGCATTCTCCATTGTCCTGACAAAAGGGCGTATTTTCCCACCTCTGTCTGCACATCTTGCTCCTCATCCCTGGAATACCCTTTCTCTCTTTTCTGGTTTATCTAATCCCATTCATTTTTTAAAACTCAATTCAAGTCCAATTTCTGCCCTGAAGTTTTTAGGACATGGATTTTTCTTTTCTAAACTGCCATGCATTTAAACTCATTTTCAGTTTAGCACTTAATGTTTTGCTGATCGTTTTAAGTGTAATTGTTCTTCCCAGTCAGATATGAGGCTCTCTAGAAGGAGGGCTTGTTAGGCCCCGTGTGCCTGGAATAGTGAAATGCTTGCTTAATAAAGAGGCACTCTGTACTTGCTTCATTGAACAGGTTATGAATTCTTAGAGGGCAAACACCTCACTTATATATCTTCTAGTCTCTAGTTTCTATATTGCTTGTAAAGAAACTCAGGAAATAATTATTGTACTTAACTAAACCGAATGATGCTTAAGGCCACAGTACAGCCTATTACTATATTAAACTGAAGTTCGAAATTTAGCTCTTCTTTACCCAACTAAATAAAATAAGTGTTCTCCCCGGTTAATGAGCACTCAGAAATTCAATTAGTTTCTGCTTCACTAAGAAGGTACTACAGTACTTCAAATGTCACTTGGAGAACTGAATACATGACGTCTTGATTCTAGAAGATTATGTTCCATACTCAGTGAGTAATTGATATCAAACTCATACCTTTGTTAGTCCCTCATATTTTCCATAATCTGTACTCTTCAGCCACTCCATCAACTTGGCATATCGAAGCAAGTCTCTATGAAATGGATGATGGTTGGGTAAAGCCAGTTCAACAGAGTGCTGAGCAAGAGTTGAACTCTGATCATGACCCTAGAGTGATATTGTAAATAAGTCAATAAATACGTTGGTGATATTGTAAATAAGTCAATAAATACGTTGACAGTAAAAGAAACATGTTGCAATTGAAAAGTCTAAACAACGACCAAATGTAGCCAAAGAAAAGCAAAAGAAGAGAGGGATAAAAACTTGAGTACTTACTTGTTTTCTTTTATCATCCTGTGTAAATCTACCGAACCTCATCACCATAAAATAATCATAAACATGCAAGAATGGCACTCTGAGATAAATCAACTACCCATTTCATCTTCTAAAGGAGTTGACAATGAATGTTTTAATCAAGCCTGTCTCTCCCATACCGTACATTTTACTATTTACTAAGCAAATAAACCTCTTGATACAACTGTACCGAGAAACACATCAAATAGGGAAGTCATTCAAAACAAATTGTCTATATCTATGGTGGTTCTACTATTAGAGTCTACAATATTTAAAACAACAGATTAAGGACATATAGGATATAAACTTTTAGAACTAGGAAGCACCACAGATGACGATATCCTGGGCTTTCCTGGATAATACTTAATAATAGTGTAATTTTAGTTTTTTTAGAAATTTGTTAAATAACTACACATGATTTTATTTAAAAACCTTGACAAGGCTTTTATGTAAATAAATTAGTAAGTTATCAGTCAGTCTTAGATGATGCATCCTGACTTTTGTTTTGAAAAATATAGGCCTGGAAGATTATCTGTTCCAATGAGCTTATTTTCTAGAAGAAACTGAAACTTAAAGGCTTAAGTGATTTACTCAGGTCACGCTGGAGGGAAGAACTGGAACCTTAGTCATGTGAGTCACACTTCCATTTTCTTTTAAAAACATATCTAACAAACCATGAGAGACTATGGACTCTGAAAAACAAACTGAGGGTTCTAGAGGGGAGGGGGGTGGGAGGATGGGTTAACCTCGTGATGGGTATTAAAGAGGGCACGTTCTGCATGGAGAACTGGGTGTTATATGCAAACAATGACTCATGGAACAAGAAAAAGACAATACCAGCAAGAAAAACAAACAAACAAAAAAAACCATATCTAACAAAATCATTTTAACCAGACTCAAAAACTGCAAATGCCTACCAGTTACTGGTATCTAAAAAACAAACAAACACAATAAAAATCTTCCCAGCCCTCTTTGGAAACAATCTAGCTCTCTCTGCTACTTTGTCAATATTTGTCATGAACTCAAAGCTAGTGTCTAAGAGATGAGAAGTTGAAAGATTAAAGGAGTAAATTCCCCCTTGAAAATATAAGTTCCCAAGAACAAGGAAAAGAAAAAACAATATGGATTTATTTGATGTAATTCTGATTCAATCTAATTTGCTTAGTCAGAACTTATTTGTTAGCATTCTATTAAAATGACACAGTGATTGAGTTTTGGTGCTGGTTAACTCATTTCCTAGTAAAGTTACCTAAACCTAATTGTATGTGTATTATACTAGCTGACATAAATTAGCTTATAAATATCCTGAATTTAAATTCTTTTATTTTTATTTTTAAAAGATTTTATTTATTTATTTAGAGAGCACAGGGCGAGGGACAGAGGGAGAGGGAGGGAGAGAGAATCTCAAGCAGACTCTTGTGTTGAGCATGGAGCCTGATACAGGGCTCGATTTCATGACGCTGAGATCATGACCTGAGCTGAGATCAAGAGTTGGAGGCAAAACCAACTGAGCCACTTAGTTGCCCCTGAATTTAAATTCTTTTAATTTAAAAGAGGTTTCTTTTCTCTATCTAATTTATATGCTTTACTATAGACACAAAATAAAAACTTTGGTTATGGATTTTTTAAACAATTTCTTTTAACTACAGAGTATCCAGAAAAAAATTCCTGGTCTAAGGCAATGAAGAATTCTCTAGCAATTGAGAAGTACCTTTAGGGCAAGAAAGATAGGAGAATAAGACATGCCAAGTACTAAAACCATTGTTGAGTTCCTTCTTCATTAAAGCTTTCAAATCAGCCTGTTGGAGAATTTTCTTCTTGTAAGATTACATCCCCAATTTAAAATGGAGATAAAAAGAAAAATAAGGACCCATTATATAGAAATTCCATATAAAACTATGTAGAATAATCAGTATATTTCTAAGATTAAGGATTATTTGAGATTAAGATTACTGAAAAAGATTAAAATTACTGATATTACTTAAGATTACTGATACTTAGGAAATTGGACTAGAGAAAGCAGAAGAGTATCAGAAAACTAGGCTGACCAATTTAAAATAAGAAAAAGAAAGGGCGAGGCAACACAAGTTCATAGCTATTATAGATGTTATATACAAGGTATACCGTGTACAATCCCTTTCTGTACTTCTAAAATACAAAAAGCTCTAAAACCTGTTTAAATTCAGTGCCAAATCTATTTTAATGGCAAAACTTGACCTGAACTGACATGAGGCTATTTATAGTGTTTGGAATGACTATTCATATTTTTTGCTGTAGGAACATTGTGTGCTTAATCACAGGGCCCTGCTCCAGACCCTCCTGGAGTGGTTATATAATACATAGTATATGTACTATATTACTTTACTAAAATCTGAAAAATTCTAAAAACACAGCTGACCCCAGGAGTTTTAGTTAGGGGAGCATGGACCTATGTGAACATTCTTTTTTGGATGGCTGACTAAATATAAAACAATGACATCTTCCAAAAGAATCATTGTGGACTAAGAGCTACAGTGTTGAAAAATGCAACTATTCTATATATTTGGAATGCCTGGTCACCTACATGTTTTCTGTGAGGTAAAGACTAACAATAAATATGAAAAGAATTAATCATTTTAAATAAAACACACAGTTATTACCACTGGACTATACTTCATCTCTCATTATAGGTGCCAAAGGTTAATTTTTAAAATTCTTTATTAATAATAATATTAGACATCTTCCATCATCCCAGTCTTTCTCATTAATTTTTCTCAATGATTTAAGATTCAAAATTATTGTTTATGTTCTTCTGCAACTGTTTACTCAAGCCATTACATGTTAAGTTATATTACTTAATTTAGTGTCAGGAAAGTTCTTCAATTAAAAACCTTCTCCCCTAAAAATGGAAGAACTAATTATTGTTTGTAGAGGATTTTACAATTTATAAAGCTCTTTCACATGTTACTATTCAAAGCTTTCTTTTGCAAACAGCATTTTCAGATCACCATCACCTGAAGAATTGCCTTCTAATATTAAGAACATAATGATCTTCAAACCATTACTATTAAGATGGATTAAATGTGATTAGTGCTAACGGAAGATTTAATTTTAGAGAAACTGTTCTAAGATAACTATAGGAAATAGGAAAATTACATATTTAAACTGTTTAATTCATTCACTAGTATAAGTTATGGTCACTTCTAGAATTCTCATGTGCACACAACTTTATTCTCTATGTAACAAAAAAATTAAGACATTGCTTAAAGTTTCTTATTATATCTTAACTACAGGAAACAACTGAGGGTGGGGGGATGGAGTAACTGGGTGATAGGCATTAAGGAGGGCACTTGATGGAATGAGCACTGGGTGTTGTACGCAACTGATGAATCACTAAATTCTACCTCTGAAGCTAATAATATACTATATGTTAATTAAGTTGAATTTAAATTAAAAAATAAAGTTTCTTATTATAAATAATAATAAATTAGTTAACAATAACAATTTATTGAATGCCTTTTGTCATGTTGGGTGTGCTCTCTTTCTCTTTCTATATATATATAAATTCTAATGTTCACAATAACCTTGTAAAGTACTTTGCTCCTCATTTAAAAAATAGCAAAACTTGGGTGCCTGCGTGGCTCAGTCAGTTAAGCGTCTGACTCTTGCTTTTAGCTGGGGTCACGACCTTGCAGTCATGCGACTGAGCCCCCGTCGAGCTCTGTGTTCAGCTAATCTAAGACAGACACATTTTCTACAAACTTAGTACATTATAAATTTTCATTAGTGTATATATTACTAGGGTTTGTGGCGCAAGGAGGTTAATTAACTTGCTAAAGGTCACCCAGCTAGGAGGTAGCAGAGTCAGGGTTTTGAATCCAGAAAGTTTGGCTCCACCGTCGTACTCTTAACCACTGTAACTGATTTTCAAACAGAAATGATACACTCATTTCAAATGCTGAAAAAATTCTCAAGATTTGGGAACTCTTTCTTTCTGTGTAATGGCATGTTTATTTTCATTTTCTTAAAGAAAAAAGAAAGTCTGAGCACAGTTCCAACAAACATCACAAAAGCTGATCTTAAATAATCCTAACTCTTCCTAAGCTTTTAACTACAGATCATTAACCTATGTTTAGGAAATGGTGAAACATGCTTAAGGAAACAATTTTTGTGAAATGAACTGAACATTGGTGGTATAGTTTACAGGCTTTATTTTACTATATGATGTTTCTATAAAAATACGTTGAAAGAAAAATTCCCAAGCTCAAGCATATAGCAAAACCCCCACAATTTCAGTTTCTCCCAGTTGTACTTTTAGTTCGGTGGATAATAAGTTCTCATCATATTGCAAAAGAAAATGTACAGAATTATGAGGTCTCTGAAGAACCCAAGGGGGACAAAAAAGGCAGAGAAGAGTTATCCTTTCAAGCCAAATCTTTCAAAAGACAACCAAAAGAGTTTTTTAAATACATACATTTTATGCAAGTATTTCCTCAATTTCGTTAGCCTTAATCTGACTGTGTGTTTTCAGTATCGGAATCCTAATTAGTGTAACTGACCTGATTCTCTAGTTGACTATCTTCTTAGATATATAAATCCCTCGTAAATGTAAAAATTATAGGTAAGAGTCTATAATTTCAATGGAAGCTGAGTGTGTAAGATCTAGAAGAGTCAAAAGAATCTAGTCAATTGTTAAAAATATTACTCTATTATATGTATATATAGTAAGAAGTGAATATTAAAAAAATGCATTTCAAGTTTCATTAAAGGAATATAGCTATGTGGAGGGACTAATATGAAAGCTGTATCATAGCATGCTCTGGATCAGTGATTCCCAAAGGTGAAGATGTTTTTTACTGGCCTATGGCACTGAGAAACAAATAAAATGATGGCAGAGTTTCTCATAAAGGGAAATGTATTTAATCTGGAAATCTGAAGTTATATTCTTTTCGTTTAGTGCCAAGATAAAAAGATAGTGAAAGTAGATGGCAGGATTTCTTTTTTAAAGTTTTTACTTGGTAAAATAAAAAATTGGTGACTTAGTAAGTCTCCAAATTTTATTTCTTTTAATTTTACTGATGTGTGAATTTTAAAAAGACTGGGAATCAGTGCTCTTAAATTACTGTTATGTTGTGATCAACAGATTATTTCCACTGTATTCTTCTATACAGTAGTTACATATGTTGACTATACATACATTTGCCAAAAACTGCATTGCAGACTCTGTTCAAGTCTTATCTTATCCATGATGCCATACCTGACTACCTAAATTCTCAGTAAACTTACTTTTGATTAAAACTTTTTAGCACTTGTACATGCATATATAAACTATGTATACATACTCATACAATTAATAGTTTCATATATGCATTGCTGTAGAGCTTTAAGCACATTAGTCTTAAAGCCTTCTTAGAAGTATCTGGAGTGTAGAAGCCATTTCTTATTCTTACATATGGAGACAACAAGTATTTAAGAGGCACACAATGAAAATCCGCTGATTGACAAAGAGATATACTATAATATGGTAATCAACTTTTCCCAGCTCATTTGTTCCACAACTAGGAATAGAAAATACCCATGTTTCCCAACTCTTTCGCTGGGTGGCCTGATGCACTGAATTCAACACACAGAAAAATCTCTTTTCTGTATTTGGGACACCCTCCTCCATTTTCTTCAGCATATCCTAGGTTGTTGCAACATTCTGGTTTTTCAACATGCATCACTCACATGTAACAATACATATTAGATTTTCAGAACTGGAAGCATTCATAGTAAACAAAGCCATTAGTTTACAAGGCAAGGAAGCAAAATCACAAATTAACTACATGTTACAACAAACAATGAAGGGTGCAGAAAGGACTACTGTTTACCTACAGTAACATTCCAACATTCCAACGTTTCCAATGCCCTCTACAAATGTGGATAACATCACTATCAACAATGTCATTTTTAAAAACTACGGAATTGGGCAGAAATAAATATTAAAATACTAATGCAAAAAAGTGTGATTAGTATTTCCTGTGTGACTTCTAGATTTACCTTTTTATTGATATTTTTCAGGTCAAGTGAAACATTGAGAGAGTCTTCCCCAATGTCTCCCTTGCACCCTTAGCTAGATGGGTTTCCTTCCTGCTCCCAGGTGTGACCACTACAATAACACTGACCCTTCCTAAGTGTATCGACCTCCCTCCTCTAGACTGTGAGCCACTTGAGGACAGGGTCAGCCTCTCACCTATCCCAAGTAAATGTCTGGTATGCATCCCAATCACCTGGTAAAAGGTTTCTAAATAAATGAAGGAGTGAGTGAGTGAAAGAATAACAGGAAAAGAGGCAAGCAGAAGGAGACGAAATGCCTTTCTGGCCAAAATAAACATTTTGCTATGGGACATTAAAAAACTGCTATAAATATGGTTAACAGGCAGCTTAAGTCAGTAAAGTTATAATCTTTTAAGATTCTGCTGCTGTTAAGTTTAGCAAACTTTACAGGAAAAAAAAAAAAAAAAGGAATCAGAAAAGCTTGAGCCAAATCTAATGTACTCACAGGCACCGAAAGAAAGTAGGACCTGTTATAGAGTTGAAGGAGGGCCTGAGTGAACTAATCAGAAATAAAATATAGTAAATACAATTGTTTTAGAATACTGCAAAGTGAAAACAAGAATCCAATGTTTCAGACAGCATTTCTTGAACAAAATTTCTCTCAATTTTTTTTGTCCAATAACCTTAATAAGAGATGAAAAACATAAGAAACCTAATCTCTTATGCCAGATTAAAATGCCTTCTATTCAAATCCCTGTAAGGTACTCTTAATATTATTAATATTAATATTATTGCCACAACGTTAATTATAACCTCCTTTTCCATATAAAAATGTAGACAAAGGGTTTATATAAAATTAAATCAAATGGAATTTACAACTCAGCCATAGTCATTTTTCTCATATATAAAAATACACACAGCCAATGAAACATTTAAAACACTTGAGTCAAGTCCTGGTTCTCACCTCAAAATACTGAAAAATAAAATAGGCTAAGCAGCAAACATGTAACAAGTTTGGACTTACTTTTATAAATAAGAACATATAAATGGTATCTGTAATAAGTAAGCATAGTTATTTATTTGATTTCTAGAATCAGAGTTTTAGCTAAAAGGAACTAGACTGTCTACCTAAGGAGATAGTTGAGGCCCAACATATACCTATGAGCAAATACTTAAAAATCTTATTTAAAGATCTCAAAATTGAATAAACATGTGAAAGAATATACTGTGATCCCAACTAAACACATTACAATTTTTGTGGAAACATATATATCCAAAAGCTACAGAAACATGCCAGTTTTATTAATGAAATAAAATTACCTGTTGAACAAAAACGTTGTTGAGGTGACTGGCCAGTCTGCGGGCAAACTGCTCTCGCAAATCACTGAAACGCTGCTGTTGCTGTCTGACTGCCAGAAGCATGTCATGGCCTGAAACCAGAACAGTTCCTGACTGATTTAACAGGTAAAGAGATTTCCCTGATCTTCAATGAATACATTTATATCAGTATCCACATTTCTGTTTTGAAGACCCCAAAGTTTTATTGGTTTATTCATCTGCTTTATAAAAGGTAAGCAAGAGAAGAAAACAGTATAGTACAGTGGTTCTGCAAGTGTGGTCCTCCATCAGCATGATTTGGGAATTGCTGGGAATGTGGATACTGGAGCTTTGGTCCACACCTACTCAATCTGGGGCTGGGCCCTAGCAATATGTGTTTTAACAAACCCTCTCCATGATTCTGAGCAAACTCAAGTTTTGGAACCACTTGCCTAACAAAACCTCATGCTCTCTGGTCTAATCAAAGCATCGACTCTGTGCTAGGTTCTGTAGACTGTACCAGAGAAAAATCATGGTGTTAACTAGAGTCCCTGGTGATCAAACACAGGAACTAAAATGAAAAAGTTCTTAGTGCTAACAGAAACACGTTTGGAAAGAAGTGAAACTGGTTTGAGGAGCTAATACTACAGTCACCCTAAACCACTTGCCCCATGTATTTCTTGTTAAAAGCTTTATACCAAGTTACAGGCTTAGTCTCAAATTCTTGGTCAGATTTTATCATTTCTAATGAACATACCTGGACGGAGAGCTACATTCATGCACTGCAGAAGGGCATCAGCGGCATTGGTACAGGCCTCGATGCCTCTAGAAGAAGCAAGATCTCCCTCCTGAAGGGCCTTTATGTGACCTTTGGCCAGGTCCATGTGGTTCTGGAATATATATAAATACACCATTTGCACATGTAATTTTGGGAAATTTACAGGTAAGATGCTACTCAATAGTATCATAAGGTCTTTGGAATTATTTTAAATCTTACTCTCAGAAGGAATTTAGAAAATGTTTACAACTGGGTTTTATATATTTTTTTTTTGTTTTTTTTTTTTGTTGGTGGTAGCAATTTACCAACATACTTACCACAAGAAACTCTATTTCAGACAGGAGTTTTACATTATTAGTGTCACTAAGATGAATTAGGTGGTTGCTTTCAGAGATCTGATCCATTTGTTCTTTTACACTTTGGAGCATTTCCTCATAACTGCTCAGTTTCAACTCAATCTGATCTACCTCCTTTAGAGCCTCATCCAGCAACTTCATCAGGATGTTCACTTGCTTTTCAGAGGCCATGATTGATTGGATGTTGGCCTACAAAGTGAAAAACAAAAGTAACTCTTCATATTATTTAAATGTATAAAAGAAGCGTAAGATGAAATATTGCTAAATCCCTTTGACACCTGAGTAACAAAGATTGGTATGCATCTAAACATTTATTTCAGTTTATCACTTTATGTTTATGTTCCGTTTTTACACAGTATTTCAAGAAGATACACTTGCCTCCCTATCAGGGTTACGGACCATGCCTCAGTGTTTTATATTTTCCCAGACTGTACAAGTAGGGTTCTGTCCCACAATGTATCATTAGTGTTGATATACTCCCATTTCTTTTTTTTTTTTTAAAGATTTTATTTATTTATTTGACAGAGAGAGCAAGAGAGCACAAGCAGGGGTAACAGTAGAGGAATAGGCAGAAGCAGGCTCCCCGCCAAGCAGGGAGTCCGATGTGGGGCTCGATCCCAGGACCCTGGGACCATGACCCAAGCCGAAAGGCAGATGCTTAACCATCTGAGCCACCCAGGCACCCCGATATACTCCCATTTCTGACACTTCCAATTCTACCAGCTACAAAAATTTTCTGTACTTCTTAACATTGTTGTAAAATGCTAAAAAAAGTATAACCACCTGTGTAATACCTTAGTCAAGAGGGTAGCAGTGGTATATCAGTGTTTGAAAGATACACTGAACTAATTTATAACTGTAGTACAATTGGTACTTACATGATGTGGAAGAGCCACGACCATAAGACCACAGGGCCACAGACTATATATCCATAAGATAGCTCCTTCTATTGTCTTCTTTCTTTTCTTTCATTTGCAACTACTGTATGTTTTTTTCCAGGCAAAGCAGGAACAAACCACCATCCCCTTATCATTGTTTTCTAAGTGATTCTGACTATTGATTCTAAATTTCCTGAAATATGGAAGCTGTCAAATCCAACATAAAACTGGGAAGCAAGGTGATAACTTGTAACATACATGCAATATTCATTAGAATAGAAAATATAAACCACTAAGCCACACTAAGAAGGCAGGTAACAGGGTATGAGGAAAAAACTTGGACCAGACCAGGAATGAAAAGAATTTCATTGGACAGTTGATGCTGTAATTTCACATATTATTTTATATGCTATTCATAATAAGTCAACTGTAAGTGCAGCCCAACTCTAAGAGTCAGCAGGCCCCTGGGCCACTGAATAGATCTCTCAAGTAGCAGACCTGGGGCTCGACCTTGTCCAGGACAAATTCCACTTTAACAACTTGAAGTTTCTTCTAGGCTTAGCTTCCAGTGAGTTTTATAGACTTGTAAACTTGGACTATTTGTGTAAACTCTGGGCCTGAGTTCAACCTCATACATTCTATACCTTTCATGTATAAAATGTCAAAATTCTTTGTCTTTAAAATATTCCTCATTGTCTGAAGGTTTTTCTTAAATGCTTACTTTGTTTAACCAAAACAAAAAAACACCACATGTTCTTGTTCTAGATTTTTCTCACACTAGTGGTGTTATTTTTAGTTATGTCTTTTAGCTTTTTACTTTCTAAAGATGTGCATTTAGTTTATAGACTCAGAAACTGTGCATACAAATTAAAAAGAGCTATCCCAAAACATCTGAGCAGGGGAGCCAAACATCCTTTTCCCCTAGCTCCTTGTTTTCAGTATACTTACTCTGCTCCATTTGGGTAAATGATTCACTTATTTCAAACTAATTTTTCTATTTCTGATTTGTACCTATTTTTTTTTCTTCAAACCATAAAAATGCTATTCTTTTGCACTGAATTATTCTGTGATGTTTCAGAGGCTGGGGGAAAGCAACCCCAAGATGGTTTCTGGTCGGCTATTTTTACTTCCATCGCTTTGTGTCAAGAACCTCCCCAAATCCCCAACCTCAGCCAACTGCCTTCACTGGCCTGATTAACAGGAATGGTTCTGTCTTTTAAACAAGAGCAGTGAAAGATAAGGCATCTGGTAATGTGCTTACAGAGGGAGGCGGCAATAATCACACTATAAAGGCTTAGGTGCTGAGGCAGTAAAATCTGAACATCACCGGTCTTCTCAATCCACTACACATCATTCATTTACAGATTATAAAAAGGTCTTACCCCATCCAGCACCTGCAGCTCTCTGGACAACCTTTCTGCAAAGGCCTCAGCATTAGAGATTGCATATTCACAGCCTTCCATCATAATTTCAATATCCTGCTCTTCTCTTGCATTTAACTCTTGGTATACATCTACTACTTCTTCATCACCTCCTGTCACACTCTGATTTTCTCCACTTGGAACAGACTCTTAAAGAGGGTAAAAATTAAAAATAAAGTAGTAAAAAAGTAGGAGGACAATAACACAGTACTTATAGTCAGTTATAAGCACAGGTCACATTTAGTGGCTGAAAAATAGGAAAGAATGGTTCAGAATATTAAAAAAAACCCTTATTTTTATGAAAAAAATGCATGTTAATATGTTTACTGTAACACTTATTATAACAAATACAAAGCATGCAGTCTAATTCGCTCAGTTTTAAGTGTTAAAATAGGCTTTAGAACAATTTCCCAAACATAATTAAACTACAAAAACAAATGCAAAACCAGAAACAAAACATGTGGAAACAAGCCTAATCTTTTTTTTCCTATCTGAGGTGGTTTTTGCTCTAACAAAACAATGACTATGAATTTAGGGCACATAAAAAATAATTTGCTTTCCTTTTTTTCCCCAGGTAAGATTTTTCTTCTGTTCTTTTTTTGTCCTTGTTATGTTTTTTTTTTCCAAATAACTTTTAGTTGAAATGAAAAATGTATTCACAATTTATTTTGGGTATTAAAAATATTAAATGAATTTTCCATTTCTTTGTTTAAAACAATTTCACATGCATTAATAAAATTTCTAAAGTTCAGGTATAAAAGTTTTCTCAACAAGTCTATAGTAACAAGAGCAACAATAACATGGCCGTTTGAAATTACAAAAATTTAACTAGTCTTCATGCTTAACAAAAGACCAAGAGGTCAAATGTAAGGTGTCTTCTGGATAAACATTTCAGTTCAATTTTTTGAGAAAGTACACTTAGCTTGTGGGATTTTATATAAAGCTTGAGGTTAGGAGAGGTAAAGTGAAAAAAAAAATTTTTTTTACCCCTAACTAAAACTCTAAATAAAGTTATTGATTTTCATAAACTTAATGGGACACGATTTAAATCACCACCTCTGGACACTTTAAATATTCATTATTTTGTATGCAAATGAAATACTTACATTCAGCATGACTGGACATATGTTAATTTGTTCTAGAAAAAAAACAACTAACTCAAAGTAATAAATGATTTACTCTTAAGAATGATAATTAGGCAGATTTAGATAATGTCCCAGAAAAAAAAAAGGAGGAGAACAAAACTTTTGGTACAGGCAATTATGGATTACAGTATATAAATAGTTCTTTAGACAGGTATCACCTAGCTCCCTGGCCTTTGAACGAGTCCATTTTAGCTCACATCTGACAGTTTATTAGCCACTAGGGGGCAGGGACTGCCCAAATCATTCTGTACAGCTCCTTACACAAGCAGATTATTTAAAATAAATAAATATTTTAAACGACCATACTGCTTCAGAAGTATTTTCTCTTCCATGAAACAGTCCTTTGGAAGTCAATAATGAATCCTATCGTTAATTTTATTACTATATGGATTTTGTGGTAATAAACTTGTCCCTATGCACAATTTCATAAAATATGCAACCAACAATACATAACAATGGCAAGTAATAAAAAATATATGGAATAGAATAAAAAGAAAAGGTGTTACGCACCTTCTGTAACTTTAGGCAGTTCTGGAGAGTAAAAAGGTATGAAAAAAGCAGAGGAAAGTAAGCAAAGAATATTAGCTGGGTAGAAAAGTATACAGGTTTAAAATTTTAAAATACTACCCATATCTCATTTGAACTTCTGGTACATCAAAGTTTAAAAGACAACGTCCAAATTAAGTACAAAGTGGAAAGATCCACAGAAACTAAATTTCCAGAGTTAATTCTCTTATTCTTTTTCTAACAATGACTAAAAATACATTTATCTTTCTATTTTTTCTTTCTTTTAAGAAACAGCACTGTCTAGTCCTTGGAGAAAACTGGGAAATAGATCACTTCCTGAGAATTATTTTTAGGTCAGCTGTGACTCATGCATTTAGTCTAGTTATTTTCACTCAAGGCCCCAAAACTTTACCCAGACATTCCCTCACAATAGATTAGTCATAAAACACTGTTAGAAACGAAGAGATTGAAACAATTTAAAAAGCACACACGAGTTATCTGTTCAAGTTGGCTTTTAAGGATTTAAGTCAAAGATTTCTTTTTTAAAATCTGGTTAAAAGAATGAAAAAGAAAAAGCCAAACAAAAACTTGACTCTACTTCAACTGCTAACAAAATCCTCCTTTAAAAACCTTAAAAGCCTTCTGCTGAGAAACCCCACTTACTAGCGTAAATATTCAGTTGTCACCAATAAAAACCACTAAAGTTGCCACTGTTAGCATTCACAGTGAAGTCTTACTGGGACGATTACTTATCTCTTAAAAGGATAATTTCTTATTTGTTTTCTAACATCACCCAAAGCTTAGACACATTTATTGTTTTTTTAAATGGGATTCAACGACTATGATTTCAAAATCCATTAAAACATTAAAACAAATTTGCAGATATTGAGAAAACTATTCTCTGGACTCCACTAAACCAAAGCAACACTGATTTATGGAAAATGATTTTCATAGTGAGATCCTTAAGGATCTTCACAGTGTTCCTAAAATTGATCTGAATTAGGGGTAACTTTTATAAACATGAAAATGTCTACACATTGCTTTAGGCCTTATAAAATTAAATGTCTTTTTTTTTTGAAGCTAGGCATTCTAAAAACAGGAATATTCTTCTCATTGATTAGGGTAATATTTCTTAATGAGGGAAACCAGGTAGGGTACGTATTTTCCCATACTGTTGGCTCAATGAAATATATTGGTTTAAAACACATCATAGGCAACGAGTAACATCTGGAGATACACAATATTTAAAAACAGAACAGCAATCATTCCCTCATCAAAATGTTCAACCCCAAAATGGTAAAAAAAAAAGTAAATAAGTAAAATAAAATAAGAGCCGTTCAAAACAAGTTAAACCACTATTCAAGGCATGAAAAATTACCATCAATTTCTTGAAGGTCATTCCCTCAACATACTCAATTGCCAAGACACTGGGGTCTAACATTGGTGAGATGTCAACCCCGAGGGCTACTCAAGAACTCCACTGGGGGTAGTAGCACAGGGCCTGACAGATGTGACTTGCCTCTGCCAGTTTCAAGCATCAAACCTGAAACCAAAAACGGGCTTACTGATTACTAAGTGTTAGGAAGGAATACTGTATTTCAGGGAAATATCCACAAGCAAACAGAAAAGGAATAAGTAAAACAGAATAGAAAAAGGACAGAGGCAAGTGGCTAAGTAAATGAATAGTTTGAAGCATCTGAAATGGCCATTTTTATAGGTCAAAATGGTTGAATATTGGCTATTTCCATTTTAACAGAATAGAATGAAGCTCCTATTTTAAAATGCTAATATACAACTTAGGACAAATCTCAGTTTTCTTTCTAATATATATTATTTGGAATAAATCTGTTTTTTAATTAATAAGAGGAGCAACAACTCTATTCATCTGCATACTAGCTATTATTTCAACTGCTTTCTTTGAGATAAAGAATGCAACACAAATTGTATCCACAAGGCATACAGAACCATTTTCTTACAATGTTTATGTCTTTATGAAAGAAATTTTTAAAGAATAAAATATTGTACATTTTTAATAAATAACAGTTTTCGTCTTATAACACAAAATAATCCATAGTAACATCCCTGAAGATATGCAGATCAAAAATACCCTATTTAACTTTTATCTAAGGATTTTATCCTGATTATATAATAAGAGCTAATATTTATTGAGTATTTACTATATACCTGGCATTGATCTCATCACTTTCATATATTAAGTAATTTAATCCTCACAACAACCCTATGGAGTGGATACTACTAATTATCTCTATTTCTGAGATAAAGAAAATTGAAACATAGAATAATCCAAGGTCACATAAATGGTAAGCGACTAAGCCAGGATTTGAACCCAAGCAGTCTGACTTATGTTTTTAACCACTATACCTACACTCTGCAAAAAAATACAACTACAAGGATATTCATGTCAAAATTATTTAAAATAATCAAAGATTCGAAATTTTAAAATAAATGATTAAGGTATATTCATATAATGGAATATTATGGTACCACTAAAAAAAATGTTGAGGTAAGTAATAACATGAAAAAATGTTCATTATAAGAAAAAGTATGTTAGAAAACAGAATGTGAATTTATTTTAAGAAAGTATTTAAATATGCATAGAAAAAAGATTGGAAGACTAACAAAACATTAACAGCAGTTATCTCTGAGGATTAAGTTTATAAGTGATTTTTATTTATTTAGTTTAATGCATCAATTTCTATAATGAACAAGTATCACTCCACAATAAGAAAAATTATTTTTCAACTCCTTTGCAATATAAGGTAAATCAGTGTGCTAATCATTTTGAGTAATGTCAAATTATATATTCACTTGTAGATATACTTGATTTTACATAAGCATTTCTATTTAACTTTACCTTCCAAGAGCTGTGAGCTAACATTGACAAAATCAATTTTCTTCCGGAGATATCGCTGATTCAATTTCCAAATGCATGAAATAAATGCATTCTTTTCAGCGGTGCTGCTGGCAACCCATTTATATATTTTTTCAAAATGTAAATCAAATTCAGGATTTTCCTGAAATAAAAATATACAAAAGATATTGTTTTAGATCATATCCCTTTTTCAGTACTATAAAGTCTATATTTCAATAAAATGAAAAGAAGTTGAAGCTGTTCTTTAAAAAAAAATCTCCATTAAAAATCATCTAAGTGACTTACAGAGAATGGTTCAGAGAATTCAATTTATAGGAAAAACTTTGTTTACCTCCCAAAAGAAGCTGGATAAAAAAACAACACAGTGTTTTGGTAATTTCTTTCCTATGCCCCTTAAGTATATGAGTAGAAGTGTAGGATGTCTAGGTAAAAGCTTTGTGTCCTGTCTTCCTAGTCTATGAGATGACAATGGTCTCCAGTTTTGACGTGGACCTAATTTTTTTTTTAAATTGCATATGGGATTTTAGAATTATACCTATTCTTTGATGATAATGCACTGTTATTTGTAACTGTGATCTGACACTAACTCCTTAGTAAAGAATATGTCTTCTAATTATAACATATGAGAAAAAATACAACCTACATCCTGGTGTGGTTTCCAAGAACAAATGAGGTGAAAGCAGGGACTGATTCTGTTTTCAATTCTGAAAAGAGAATGATCGAAGGTGCCTCAAAAATAAAAAATGCTGGCTAGCCTTGAAGTTCTTTCGAATGACAAAGAGGCTCAACCTGTGGGAGAAGTGCAGTACGCTCTCTGTTTCTTAAGCCACCTTGCAGCCATGATTTCATACCAGGCTAATATTTCCCATGTGAATGTAGAATCACTGGACTGCTATCTAAAACATGAAAACATATGGATGTATTGTATGCTTTTCTTCACATCCAAGGAATTAAAAATAGATTAAAATGTTCTTAATGTCCAATGGAAAGCTAATAATATATCTGATTCATTCAAAGTATCATTTGGGAGAAAAATGTAAATAAATGCCTTAAAGGCAAGGGAGATGATATCAGACTTTTACTGTGAACAGTTGGGATAATTTAGGGATCATGATTTGACCTAGTATAATAATCACGTTACGGTAGCATGAAACTACTAATTAGCTCAATAAGCAGAACTGAAACATCAAAAGATTAAAAATCTGTATTTCCAATAGAGGTAATTGCATTATCACTTATAAAAAAAATCTAAGAGTACTGGCAACTAATCTAAAACTTGATGGGAAATGATCTCTTCCCTGGGAATATTTCCCATAATGCCATAAAAGAAGCTGAGTGCTCCAGTGGCAACACTCACACAAATCAATGTGTGACACTAAATGGCTAATGTTAGGCTATGTATAAAAATTTTATGTTTTATATCCATATATAGTGTGCACATGCCAAGGTGCCTACATAAAATGAAAAAAAGAAAAAAACAACATTCATTAAGAAAGCCAGCAATGAAGCATCAGCTGTGAGAAAGCATTCAAATAAACATCAGCAATGTTAGTGAATTATGCAAGTCAATGGGGTTATAAAGTACAAAACTATTGAAGGAAAAAGGCTCTTTAATAAAGACGCATTTCTAAAAAGCCCTTACAGTATTTTCTCTTAAACAGAAACCTACTGAGGGAGGAGAAGCAAGATGGAAGAGGAGGAGGAGACCTAAATTTCGTCTGGTCCCAGGAATTCAGCTGGATAGGGATCAAACCATTCTGAACACCTACGAACTCAACAGGAGATGGAAGAAAAGAATAGCAGCAACTCTCTGAACAGAAAAGCGACCACTTTCTGGAAGGTAGGACGTGCGGAGATGTGAATCTGAGGTGCTATTCGGGAAGATAGACGGCAGGGGAGGGGGCCTCCATCAGCCGCTACTGGCAAGTGATAGAGCTGTGGAGCACGAAATTGGAACTTTTAGAAGTCAGTTCTGCTGAGGGACGTCGCTCCAGTGGCTAAGCAGGGGATGTAACCGTTGCTGGGACAGTGTGGTCTCAGGACCCTCAGGGTCACAGGAAGACCGGGGGTGCCTGAGTGCAGCAGAGCTCCCAGGTATCGGGGCGGGGAAGCTGGCTGCAAAGACAGAGCCGAGGCATGGGCTCCCAGCTCGGGGCTGCCATAAACCGTGATCCACAGCACAGCTGGGCCACTGCTCCTCCAGCAGGGACCCAACAAGCGGCAGAGCCGGGGAGACTCCCCCTCCTCCCCGGGGAGGAGCGGCGCAGGAGCGCACCGCAGGGATCTGCTGGGTTTGGAGATTCCACACGGTCAGGTGCCAGAGATAGAAATGCTAGGTCACAGGCTGGGTGAGCACGGGGTGCGGCTGGAGACCAGGGAGACGGGAGCGATTGACTGCTTTTCTCTGGGGGTGCACTGAGGAGTGGGGCCCCGAGTTCTCGGCTCCTCCGGACAGAGATTGGGAGGCCGCCATTTCACTCTAGTCCTCCAAAGCTGTACGGAAAGCTTGCAGGGAACAAAAGCTCCCGAGAGCAAAACGGAGCAGATGATTTAGCTGGGACTGGCCAGGGCGGGGCAATTCTGCCTCCCACAAAGACATTTGGGAACCATGGCAAAAGGCCCCTCCCCCAGAAGATCAGCAAGAACCACCGGCCAACACCAAGTTTACCGATCAATGAGAACAGCAGAACGCCAGCACTAGAGGAATACAGCACATAGAATTCATGGCTTTTTTCCCAGGATTCTTTAGTCTTTCAAAGTTCATTTTTTCTTTTTCTATTTTTTTTTGAATTCTTCTTTTTCCCTTTTTCAACCAAAATCTTATCAATCCGTTTTTCAAAAATCTTTTTTATTTTTCATTTTTAGAGTCATATTCTATCCCTTCATTGTAGTTAATCTTATTTTTGGTGTGTGTGTGTGTGTGTGTGTGTGTCTGTGTGTGTGTGTGTGTATTGTTCTCTCTTTAAAATTTTGGGATACAGTTTCTTCTAACAGACCAAAATATACCCTAAATCTCTAGTGTATGACTTTGTTCTACTCGCCTGCCTGATCACATTCTCTCCCTTTTTTTCTTTTTTTTTAAATTTTTCTTCTTTCTTTTTTCAACCAACTTCTTATCAATTCCTTTTATAAAATCTTTTATAATTTTCATCTTTACAGTCATATGCCATCCCTTCATTATATTTACCCTTATTTTTGTACATATATAAGTTTTTCTTTAAAATTTTGGGAGGCAGTTTCTTCTAACAGACCAAAATACGCCCAAAATCTAGTGTGCGGCACTGATCTATTCACCAGCCTGATCATATTTGATCATATTCTCTTTTTTTTTTTCTTTCCCTTTCTTTGCCCCCAGTTTCAGATCTCTTCTGATTTGTTTAGAATATATTTTTCTGGGGCCATTGTTACCCCGTTAGCATTTTGTTCTCTCATTCATCTATTCTCCTCTGGACAAAATGACAAGACAGAAAAACTCACCTCAAAAAAAAGAACAAGAGGCAGTACTGACTGCCAGGGACGTAATCAATACGGACCTTAGTAAAATGTTGGAACTAGAGTTCAGAATGACGATTATAAAGATACTAGCTGGGCTTGAAAAAAGCATGGAAGATACTAGAGAAACCCTTTCTGGAGAAATAAAGGAACTAAAATCTAACCAAGTCGAAATCAAAAAGGCTATTAATGAGGTACAATAAAAAATGGAGGCTCTAACTATTAGGATAAATGAGGCAGAAGAGACAATTAGTGATATAGAAGACCAAATGATGGAAAATAAAGAAGCTGAGAAAAAGAGAGATAACTAATGGATCATGAGGGTAGAATTTGAGAGATAAGTGATACCATAAGATGAAACAATATTAGAATAATTGGATCCCAGAAGAAGAAGAAAGAGAGAGAGGGGCAGAAGGTATATTGGAGCAAATTATAGCAGAGAACTTCCCTAATTTGGGGAAGGAAACAGGCATCAATATCCAGGAGGCACAGAGAACCCCCTCAAAATCAATAAAAACAGGTCAACACCCTGACGTCTAAGAGTAAAACTTACAAGTCTCAGAGACAAAGAGAAAATCCTGAAAGCTGCTCGGGACAAGAGGTCTGTAACCTACAATGGTAGAAACATTAGATTGGCAACAGACCTATCCACGGAGACCTGGCAGGCCAGAAAGGACTGGATGATATATTCAGAGCACTAAATGAGAAAAATATGCAGCCAAGAATACTATATCCAGCTAGGCTGTCATTGAAAATAGAAGGAGAGATAAAAAGCTTCCAGGACAAACAAAAACTAAAGGAATTTGCAAACACAAAACCAGCCCTACAAGAAATATTGAAAGAGGTCCTCTAAGCAAAGAGAGAGCCTAAAAGTAACATAGACCAGAAAGGAACAGAGACAATATACAGTAACAGTCACCTTACAGGCAATACAATGGCACTAAATTCATATCTTTCAATAGTTACCCTGAATGTAAATGGGCTAAATGCCCCAATCAAAAGACACAGGGTATCAGATTGGATAAAAAAACAAGACCCACTGATATGCTGTCTGCAAGAGACTCATTTTAGACCCAAAAAAACCTCCAGATTGAAAGTGAAGGGGTGGAAAACCATTTACCATGCTAATGGACATCAAAAGAAAGCTGGGGTGGCAATCCTTCTATCAGACAAATTAGGTTTTAAACCAAACACTATAACAAGAGATAAGGAAGGACACAATATCCTACTTAAAGGGTCTATCCAACAATTGTAAATATCTATGCCCCTAACATGGGAGCAGCCAATTCATAACAAAATCAAAGAAACACATCGACAACAATACAATAATAGTAGGGGATTTGGGGTGCCTGGGTGGCCCGGTTGTTAAGTGTCTGCCTTCAGCTCAGATCATGATCCCAGGGTCCTGGGATCGAGCCCCGCATCAGGCTCCCTGCTCTGCGGGAAGCCCGCTTCTCCCTCTCCCACTCCCCCTGCTTGTGTTGCCTCTCTTGCTGTGTCTCTCTCTGTCAAATAAATAAAATCTTTAAAAATAAATAAACTTAAAAAAAAATAATAGTAGGGGACTTT